CCCCCCCGCTGAGCCGACTCTCAAACTCGCTCTTCAGGTTCCTGCTGTGAGATTAGAGCACAGAAAAAAAAAAAACACAATCTACAGTTTGAGTGGTTTTATGGCCGCACAGTGGAGTGCTCCACCCACCCAGCCAGGCTGGATGGATCGGGTGTCTTCCATGTGCCGAGCGGCAGCGGGCGCCAAACTAAGCAGCTGTGGTGAGCTGCACAGCGGCCCCCCCTGCAGCGAGACACGGAAATCCACTCACAAAACAAGACCACACAGCAACGAACAGGAGGAAAGGACTACACAGCGGGCAAAGAACGAGAGGGGAGGAACCCTAAGAGGAGCAGGGGTGCTAAGCCATCCCTCTGGGAGGCTGAGATGGACAGATTCACCTTTTCTCACTACTGCACTGCAACGGATTAGACAGGAGAAGCGTGTGTGGTCGCTAAATGTGGAGTTGATATAAGAGAAAGCCCGGAAAATAGCTTAGCAATTGTTTTGGCAGGTTTCTGAGGCCTTAACGCTTGAGTTGAACTCAAACAGTCCGCTTAAAACAGAGGACTCGGCCTCAATCGGCCTGATTCTGATCAAATGGATCCATTCAAATGTTCGGCACAAGCCTGTCGGTGGTGCACTGATGTGAATCAGGTGTGCTGAGAATGAAAACCCCCTACAACCTGTAGGGCAGCAACCCCAGAGGAGCAAGGAAGGACAGTCCCCTAAAAAAGGGGAGTTTTGGACAGGCTGCCATGACAGACCACTTCTGCTCAACTGCCAGGAAAAAAATTTTTAATTTCTTTTGAAATAGAAGGTGTGAAGAGTTCGGACTTAATTATGAAAGGGTCCCTGGTGGGTCTGCGTGTAAATGCGAAATTATGTGGACTTTAAGATTTTTCCCGGAGTCGGACAGCTCGTCTGCGTTAACGGGCTGATGGCCGCTGACCTGAGAGCAGCTGCTCTCACGGGGTCCTCCGCTGTGTCTCAGCACAAGCAGTGGGAAGTCAACCCCTCTTCGTTTAAAAGGTTTTACTGTTCACAACCAGAGATCAGATGCAGGAGGAAGTGTATGTCCATCTTCCAGCTCCCTGGGGAATTAATGGATTAAGCAGCAGCCAGGTGCTGATAATGAAATGTTCTCTCTGTTATCGGGGAGCGTGAGCGGCTCTCTAAGGCAGAGGTTTGCTTTGCTACTCTGGGGCATCCAGGTGTGGGCGGACACAAGGCCAAGGAGGAAAGACATCCGCCATGGTCTAACAGGAGCTTACTAAACTATTTTGAGTCCGTCATTCTGCAGAGAGAGAAATGTTTCTCGGAAAAAGTGGGACTCTGAGGTGGACTCTGACTCGGACGCATCGGTCTTCTGCTGTGCAGTTCATCAATAAAATGGAAATGAACTCCACCAAAGCTTCATTTGCATTCCGAGAGCTGTGCACACACCTCAGATGAGCTGAAGAGAGGGACATAACTCCTCCACTGCCATCGGAGAGCCTGCGGACAGCATCAGAAACCCACCTCCCAGCCTCCCGCTGACGGAGGAGGTTCCAGCGGCTAGTGGCTCACAACCGGCCTCCGAGTGTGTCTCAGCTTTGCCTCTGTTTGGTAAATGAAGACTCAGGGTAACCTCTTTTTACGGGTCAGAAGAGGACCAGCATCATCAGAAGGTGGCGGTTTCTTTTTCACGACTCCGTCAGTGGGAGGAGGACGTGGGCAGAATGAAAGTACCGAGCCCGTTTCCAGCTCGCCGTTCCAACAAAGAGGACCAAAAAAAGCACAAGACAGATGGATCTGCTTCCCAAAGACCTGCTGATTAAAGACACGTCAAAGAGTTCTCCGGCAGCCAGGAAATAAAACTCTTCAAACTTCAGCCCGCTCTCTCAGGTGAGGCGTTCGAGAGCTTTTCAGGGAGACAAAAGAGAAAATCTGCCTCTCTGCAGCACATCGACAGCCACGCCAGAAATGGCGTCCCAACATTGTTGAGGAGGCTCTTTGGTGGAAGACAGTAATTGTGGTTTGTTCTGCTAATTTCTGCCCCGTGAAGCAGGTTTGAGTAATAGCACATTAATGTCCCACAGAGCCATTAGCCTATTGCCCTTGTGAGCGCTCATGCTGGGGAGCTGAAAAGACGCAAATCACAGGTTTGATACGTCGACACAGAGGAGCGTAGGTCCACGCGGGGAGAAAATGGGAGGCTGCTGATTATGGAAATGCACACATCAGCGTGGACCTTTAAAGCTGTCACAGGAGCGCAGAGGAGTCGGATTAGAGTCTGAGAACTTTAGGGGAACTATGGAAAACACAGCGAGAGGGCCTCAAACGGCCCGGTCAGGAGCCTTCAGCCAAGAAAAAGTTCTGTCTCCAACTTCTAATAATCATTTCAAAGACTTCTTTGGCTTCCGAGCACCACGCGTGCCGTTAAAAAGGGGGACAACGTCCCTAAAGATGTGCGAAAGGCTGAGGTCGCTGAGCCGTGGCTCCCCTGTGTCCTGTTACAAACATTTAGTGTTGTGCAAAGGTCAACGTCAGTGTGACACCACCTGCCCTCTCTTATGCTAAGAGGCGTGGAGGTTGCATCTTCCCCTCATCGCTCCATCACGACTGACAGATTTAATAGCCTCTTTGGCTCGCCTCTCCTCTCCGACCCAGGCAGAGTGGAGGCACGATGCCTCTCTCCTCCTCCTGTTACACTATCAGCTCTGTCATCGTGCTGCTTCCCCCTCGTCTCCGCTTCTTCTTTCTGTCTTCCAGTGAAAAACTCCTTTAATCGTCCTTTTAATGTGTTTTTTTTGTTTCCTCAACATAATTACCCTTCTGAGTCCTCTTGGGGTCACTCAGTCTGACACGCGGCTTCGCTGATAAGCTGGTCCAGTACCTCCCCGTTATTCATTATCCTCTGCAGCCACGTGCGTTACATCATAGCCCGTCTCTCCACTGAGTGCTCTCCACCGTCCCTGCTAATCTCATTAGCTTCGGTTTTACAGCCTCATTGTTCTGATGCTCGAAATGACACTGCGGAGGTCAGACAAGTGCCCCCCACTTCAGCTATCAATCAGTTTTAGAAGGAGAATGAATTCTTAATCATTACTGAGTCAAAAAATGTCATCAGACCCACACAAATGTTATTTTCATCCTTTAATTAGTCTCAAGGAGAAGTTCTCTGGACTTTCTGAAGCTCTTTGGAACTTTTTCTGCATTTTCTCATGTTTTCTGATGAGTTTATTTAATACACCACTTAACGCTGACTTGCGAAAAATTCAAGCATGAAAAAGGCCTATAACTCAAGGGATGAGCCAACTCTGCAGAGCAGCAGTTTAAAGTGGATATTTAGGTTCTTTGTTACCAGCAGCCTGTCACAAAGACACGTCGTCTGCTCCCGTTTCTTTAGCTGATGAGTGAAAAATGTCAAAGATGAGTTAAGTTAAGGACGGTAAACAGGAAGAAAAGGCTGAGCCAAAGGCAGCAGCATCCAAAGAAGAGCTTTGGGGCGTCCTTCAAGAAGCCTGGAGAGCTGCTCCTGGGGACTCCTTAAAGGAAGGACACACAGCTGCTGGGAGAGGGTTCAGAGACGGACAGAATCTGTATTTGCCTCACACATTGCATGTGTGGTTATTCACTGCGGCCCTTCAAACAAAAATCGGGACTGGAACTGCAGTCTTGGTCCATCCGTAAATCTGAAGATAAACAGTTTATCAACCCCTTAAAAGTGGGTCCCCACTCTGGGTGTGTTTCCTCCTGCACATTTGCCCACACAGCCGGGAGAGGCTGCTCAGGGTGTGTCAGGCCTGGCAGGGATGGGGTTCCAGTTAGGGGGATGAAAGATGGAGGAAATGAGAGCGGAAGCGTGAGCATGAATGAAGAGTGCAAGGCTGCATTTTTCATGCTGAGTTATAAAGCATGCTCTCCCTGCCCATGCTGGCTCCATCCTGAACAGACAGGCACTTTAAATGCCATCAATGAGCCTCCAACATGCAGATTTCACAAGAAACTGGGCCAAAAAACAGCTGAGCTCGTTGTTACATTTACATAGACTGGAATGAAAGGCTGCACACAGTGCACCAGTATCTCCATTACGGGAAACACCGTCCCTCATTCAGCGGTGGGGAATAATGTGACAAATAGGCTTCTTAGTCAGCAGCTTTAGCGTGTGCCGTAGTGCATTGCGTAACCATTTCCACCGGGGTGGACCAGAAAATACCCCCTGATCCTGGAGGGTATATCCCGAAACACACGGCACGATGACACGCCACAGCTCCCTCACCGTAGCCTCCATCCCATTGTTAGTCCGTGTGTAGAAACCACGCACCAGCATCGGTTCCAAGGCATTTCAGAGGCAGAAATAACGAGATTTAAACCATTTTCTTAAAGACTAACAAAGGCAGGAGGCCACTTGAAGCGTGTCAAATAACGTATGGTGTGGATTCTGATGCGACTACACAGAAATTCAAAGTTTATTCCGTGTTTAATGCCTAGAAAACGTTCGTTTCTCTTTGTTTTTGCCTTAATCTCCATGAAGATGCCCGTAAATGCTGCTTCTTGTTACACGCCCTAAAGCAACCGTGTGGGACCCTTCAGCACAAGCAAATAACAACAGAAACAGCAAAGAAAACCTGCAGAATTTAACCCACTACCTCCCTGTTTGCGCGGAAAGCTGAGGAAAAAGCACGTCTCAAACAGTCAGGAGGAAATAGATGCTGGTAATTACCTTTTTCAAGCCTCGGATCCGAAATTCTGTGGACTGGGAGGGGCACAGGAGTGTTGGAAATCGCTTTTATTTATTTATTTTTTTCTTTATTTCGTGAATCTCGTCCAGCCTGACGACAAACAACAGACTTCAGAGAGGGAAGATCGGAGGCGGCTGAAGACTTCGGCGGACGTCGGCTGAGCGGAGCATCGGAGTTCGGCTGTGCTCGGAGAGCTTCGGTGAAAAGCGGAGATGGGGCTTCTGGCTCGGAGCCACGAAAAGACGCTCTGCAGTTTAGCCTCAGGCCACCAGAAGACATCCCATTGCACATGCACGCTTTCTCCTCCCCAGTTTGCTCGGCTCACTTCTTAATGGACCCTCTGTTTTCTTACTTGGCGCGGAACGCCTGCCCACTCCTTTCTAAAAGCGTGAATTAGGCTGAAATGATGGGACTCCACCGGCTTCTAGGCTCAGCCCGAGCAGCTGTCCAGGGTCCTGAAATCCTCGTTTGTGCTGTCCGGGGCTGTGATGTATGTCAGGCCTTTTCCAAAGGACTGAATCACCAGCTGGACCTGTCCCAGAGCCAGTTATTTAGCTGTTTTTTTATTATTAAAGCCTTGGGTATTATAATAGACATCAGTTATTCAGCCATCACAGGAAATCACAGCCGCTCTGCGGGGCAGGATGTTGGGACTCTTAATCACCACTCACTCAAGTCTGATTCAATAAAGAGGACAGCAAACTACGCACAGCCAGGAGGAGGAGGAGGAGGGCTGGGGCTGGTGACTGTGCTCCTTTTTCAGGAGCATTTTGGACCTTTATTCAGACACAGATCAGCAAAGGGTGAGGCCAGCAATAAGGCTGGCCACCCCAGCCCTATTTATGTGGCAAATATGTGTCCGATTTTCCATTTCAGCCCATTCAAAATAAACATTTACTTTCATCTGTTAAAAATGGCTTCACTGGGACCTTATGGCTTTAAAGGAGAATGAGATGCTTTAACTGACAGACAATTTTCCTACAAATGCCTTTTATTTCTCCCAAATGTTTCACAGTCATCAAGATCCCAAATGAAAGTTTTGCGGGAATATCATAGAAAAAAAGTACAAAGAACAGAGAAATGTGTATACACATAAAAAGTGACTGAGGTCCACAAACAGAACATAGACGGCTTCTGTTTGAGCCGAATACTGAAGAGGCTCAGAGAGTAAACAAGTTCTTTCAAACCGCACATGTTCAGAGGAAAAAAACGAACAAAATGAGGAAAATTAGCATTTTCGTTACACCTCGAAAACTTTCATACGTCTTTTTTTTTTCAGTAAAACCCACACATTTGGATTTCCGGCTCAAATTAAAGCTGACATGGTTTAAATTCTGAATGTTTACTGGAATAAAGACTGAAAAAAAGGATAAAAAACAAAAAAAATCTCATCACTTAGGTAAAAAGAAGTTAAAAAAATGTTTATCTTATGTTTATTCCATGACTTAAAAAAGGAAAAAAACTCCCAGTTGGTTTTTGAAATAGCTCTTTCTTTGCAGATGTGGGGAGCGTTACCGAGCATCTGGTCAGGATGGGAGGCTTTGGGTTCAGGTTTTAGGTCGACGGACTGAGCAGAGGCCTCCTCACGACGTTGGCTGGCGTCTGAGAAAGACCCGCAGCTTTAACACTCTGCCGACGAGCCCATGAGGTCCGTCTGTGAGTCCAGTCCAGGATCAGGACGCGCTAACACACACTGGATGCACTTTAGGCTAAAACATGAATACTGATGATGTCACCCTCCGCCTTCTCCATTAATACTGTAACATGATAACACTTTAGCTTCAACACTTTTTGTTTCGTTTTACGACCATTGAGGGAAAACCCAAACATGTTCCCTGATGGGCTGCAAATCAGCTCCGACGTCTGATCAGATCTGACTAAAACTACACTGATGTCCAAAGGTTAGAGTGTGAAGCTGTGGATGTGAGTGGATGTGAGTCACGTCTGAATGTCTGTGGGGTCGCTCACAGTGAGACGGGAGCACCAGTGTTGATCAAACCTGTAGAAACTAAACCATAATAACCGTGGCACATTGATTTGCTCTGCTTATCTTTTCCCCGCCCCCACACCCCCGGCCTACATTCACTCCATTTCTGGCCGCTCATTAACTTTCAGACCTGCTGCACTCCTTCATTTCATTTCACAGTTTTACTATTTTTTTGGCTCTTTTTTTGGTTTAATTTCTTTCTTTAACTTTTTCTGGTCGCGCTCTTTAGGCGTCCTCCTCCGCCTCCTCCTCGAACTCGCCCTCCTCCTCGGCCGTGGCGTCCTGGTACTGCTGGTACTCCGACACCAGGTCGTTCATGTTGCTCTCGGCCTCGGTGAACTCCATCTCGTCCATGCCCTCGCCCGTGTACCAGTGCAGGAAGGCCTTGCGGCGGAACATGGCGGTGAACTGCTCGGAGATGCGCTTGAACAGCTCCTGGATGGCCGTGCTGTTGCCGATGAAGGTGACGGCCATCTTGAGGCCGCGCGGCGGGATGTCGCAGACCGCCGTCTTCACGTTGTTGGGGATCCATTCAACGAAGTAGCTGCTGTTCTTATTCTGCACGTTCAGCATCTGCTCGTCCACCTCCTTCATGGACATGCGGCCGCGGAACACGGCGGCCACCGTCAGGTAGCGCCCGTGGCGCGGGTCGCACGCCGCCATCATGTTCTTGGCGTCGAACACCTGCTGGGTGAGCTCGGGCACGGTCAGGGCGCGGTACTGCTGGCTGCCCCGGCTGGTCAGCGGCGCGAAGCCCGGCATGAAAAAGTGCAGGCGCGGGAAGGGCACCATGTTGACGGCCAGCTTCCTCAGGTCGGCGTTGAGCTGGCCGGGGAAGCGCAGGCAGGTGGTCACGCCGCTCATGGTGGCCGACACCAGGTGGTTGAGGTCGCCGTAGGTGGGCGTGGTCAGCTTGAGCGTGCGGAAGCAGATGTCATACAGCGCCTCGTTGTCGATGCAGTAGGTCTCGTCCGTGTTTTCCACCAGCTGGTGGACGGAGAGCGTGGCGTTGTAGGGCTCCACCACCGTGTCCGACACCTGACAGGCAGAGAGCAGCGGCATCAGGGCCGGCCAATGGGAGGCTGCCGTTCATTAGGCACAGGAGGGGAACGCAGCCACTACAGACATCTGCTGCCCCACAAACTACAGAGCCTCATCTCTGGACCTGGGGGAGAAGCCCCCAGAGTCCAGCTGTGTGACCGCAAACGATCAAATCAGGTTAAAGAATGAGCACAGCGTCAGAAGGACGCCTGAAGACAGCAGACGCTGGCTGAGTTCGGGTCGCAGAGCAGCGGCGACGGCTACCTTTGGGGAGGGCACCACGCTGAAGGTGTTCATGATGCGGTCGGGGTACTCCTCGCGGATCTTGCTGATCAGAAGGGTCCCCATCCCCGAGCCGGTGCCGCCTCCCAGCGAGTGGGTGAGCTGGAAACCCTGCAGGCACTCGCAGCTCTCGGCCTCCTTCCGCACCACGTCCAGGACCGAATCCACCAGCTCCGCCCCCTCCGTGTAGTGACCTTTGGCCCAGTTGTTCCCAGCTCCGCTCTGACCTGGAAGCCACCATTTGTCATTTCAGCTGTTGCTTCTATTGGTGATTACTGGAAATTAAATTGAGCTGAATTACATCCACATTAAAGCAGGAAAAATCAACACTGGATCATCCAGCGATACAGCGTGAGGCCCTTATAACAAAGATATAAAAATTAAATAGAAAAAATAAAAAGGTTCCCTTCTGTCCTGCTGAAGTTTGACCCTTTATCTTTAAAAAAGGCACACATTAGCCGCTCTGCTCCTGTGCAGCTCGTTCTTACCAAAGACGAAGTTGTCAGGCCTGAAGATTTGCCCAAAGGGTCCAGAGCGGACTGAGTCCATGGTGCCTGGCTCCAGGTCAACAAGGATGGCTCGTGGCACATATTTCCCACCTGCACAGACAAGCAGATGCACCAAACTGTAAACATACAGGAAACGTTATATCTGAAGAGGACAGACAACACTTATCCTCAGAAGAGTAGCCAAAACCAGAAAAGCTGAGTCAGATCCCTCACACCCTCCTGAAACTAGAAACTCCTCCTCCAGAGCAGTTCAGGTTCAATCCCTAGTTTGAGTCCTAACCCAAACCAGGACATTGACTCCCTTTTTCTCCTCCCCCATCCTATCAACCCCCAGGCAAATGAAGTCGACCCTGTGCCCAAAAATAACTTCAAGTAAGAGCTGTGACTTCTAAATGGACATCAAAGTTCAGAGTTGAAGCAGAAAACAAGTGCAGAGTCACAATAACGAGGAGGATTTGTGAGGAAATGAGGGGCATAAGTAGTCACCAAAGATTATCATGAGGGTTTTTCCAGCTGGTGTTAAAATGCAGTATCACCTGTGTCCACCAGATGGGGCACTGTTTGACACCAACACCTCACACTTTGAGCCGGTGAACATAATGTGGACAAAACACATTTTTTTGTGGTGGGCGTTTATGTTATACAAGATGACCCTCAGTCACTGGACAGTGCCACCTTAAAAAGTTGCCCACATGCAAAGATTCCCACCACTGAACAATCCTTAAGGTTGTACTAAGTTGTATTAAAAGGAAGCCACAGAGCATGGCATCAACTCCTGCTCTTTGCTGCTGCAGTGAGCCGGTTTCTCCACAGGGGGCCGCCTCCGCTCAACATGTCAGTGTGTGTGAGCACATACCAAGCGCTCAGTGTGGACCCACCGGTGGCTTCGTTGTAGTACACACTGATCCGGTCCAGCTGCAGGTCGCTGTCTCCGTGGTAGGTTCCTGTGGGGTCGATGCCGTGCTCGTCACTGATCACCTCCCAGAACTAAAAACACACAAGAGGCAGCACATCATCGGCACACAAACGGCACAGGACGCATCAAAGGTTGGCCGAGCACCGGTTTGCAGATTTATCTGATAGAAATGCAGATTTCCGCTCGGATTCCTGACAAAGAGGTGCCTGTGCGCCTGAAAGCGAGTCAATTTCAGGAGAAACGATCTTCTGTGCCTCCAAAGGACAAGTTAGCAGCTAATTACGTTTTTCCAGTCACAAGATCTACTGAAAACAGCAACATGTTACGAGAAGACAGGTCACATGTACAGTACAGATCAAATGTACAAGATGTACAGAGAAACCTGCCACTAACGTTTGTTTTTTCCCACCAACTCGAGGTGTGGAGTCACAGTGGTCCACTTCAATCCACATCCCAGCCTCAGGGCTGACTAAGCATGGGAGAAAAGGAATAAAAAACTATACTGACAACACACTACTGATCTGATACTTTGAAATAGAAGTAATCAGCATGAAGATATCACATTTATGGGACCAGAAGAAGAAAAACAGATGGAAAACGAGGATAAATTAGCCACAAAAGAAGAAAAACAAAGTCCCACATTCAGACCAAAGCTCAACCTGCTGATCACTTCCCTAAAATAACCAGCGTATCATTTGAAACCTGCTGCTAGAAGCAGGACGTGGACTAAGTCAGACGAGATTCAATTATGAAGATCATTAAAATCCAGGTCTGGTTCCGGGAACGCTTCATTCATCCCTGGTGCTGGGTGTAATCTGAGCGGACTGCTTTTGGTAAAAAGAATGACTCAATGGCTCACCTCCGAGCACAAAAAGCTAAATGAAACACTCATCAGCGCAAAAGATATTTTTAAAGAGAAAAAGAAAAAAACTGAACAGTAAGGCAGAAACATGTCAATCTGGATGAATAGTGCTACTGTTTATGAAGAAATGGTGAGGGCATGCACACAATTTCATCTCGTAATAAAGCGGAAAATGAATGAAGAAAAGACGAGATGTTCATTGAAATAAAAGAACATCTAGCAGAACAAAGTTTGACAAATAGCATGTCTGAGTGTATTCCTCAGATGTTGTATGTTCTGTTTATGGCAGCATGAAATAATCAGGAACAACATCATTATGAGGTGGGGAAGCATCCAATCAGAAACAAAGGAGAGGATGGTGGTCTGCACTGTTCATTTTCAGGGAAAATTCCCCCATAAGCAGCTTTGTTTTTCAAACTAACCAGATTACAAAGAGGTTTCCTGCCGGGTGGCGGCGGGCGGAGCTGTGCCCTCCCCCTGTGAGAGCTGCTGGGTTTGCCATTATGACCAGCTTCCGGACAGTTATCTGGCATGCACAGCGAATATAAGCAATCCGATTATTTTCCTCTCGCTGTCGTTTTCTCTTCACAATTCCCGCTGCGGGGAAAAAAGACACGGGCAACGCCATCAGCAGCGCGGCTGCAAAGGACTGAATTCCCAGGCTGTGTTCCACTTTTCCTGGGAAAGACGGAGCCGGCGGCACCGCCTCAAGACTTCTGAGACCGCCGCATGCAAATGTACCAACGTGATCCTGAAAATGGACTAAATTTATCCGTACAAATCCCCCTACTGAGAGTCAGTCCAGTGCACTTCACTAGGGTATCAGATTTGTTTTTCTTTGTCACTTTTCTCTCATCTAAACCATTTATGTACACCAGCTGTATGAGACTTGCTGGACATCCTCCTACAGGGGGGATTACTTCTGCTCCACATCTCCTCTTCTGGCTCAAAAGATAGCCGCTGATCTCCCAGAAGAAAGACACAACACTGCGTTCGCTTGGGCAAACAATTGTTTGAAGAGGCTGCCTGTTTGCTGATGATCAGAGACAGGGCTGCACAAAGGGCGTCGACCCTGATCGGGAGAGAACACAAGGCAAAATAAACAGCCCATGCTGTAGTAGTGATGCAATGTGAAATAAGCATCTACGGAGTGGAGTGGGCTGAATGGCGAGAAAGGGTTCAGTTGTTTTAAACAGAAAGAAATCCCACCCAACTCAGCGACTGCTCCATCCCACCACCCCGCACCGCCTCTTTAGGTACTTTTCGTAGGCCAAAACTTCATCAACTGCTCAATTCTCCCTTTAGTCAATTTCTCCCTGGAGATCAATAAAGTATATTCAATCAATTCAATCAATTCAATTCAATTTGAAGGAAAACGCCAGTACCATTGGGAACAGAAACTGCTAAAGCAGAGCTTTAAGATTTAGGAAATGCTCCACTCACAGTAAGGGGGCGGGCGGTGGGGGGATCAGCTTTTACAGAGGATCTAGTCAGCTCCAGCTCTACAGGCAGAGACGTGAACGCCAAACTCAGTTAGAACAAGTGCTCGGCCTGTCGCGGCCGCTCAGTCAACTGACCCTAATCTGAGCCTCGGACTGAGTGTGTTTTCAGGGAAAGAGTCGAGAGATAAGCACCCGCTTCAACAGAAGGGCAGGATAGAAGAAACGTGTAGAGACAAATTAATCTAAGCGGGAGGTCCTTTAAGGGGGAAGACTATCAAAACACGACACAGTCGAATTATAGTATAAAGGGAATCTGCATCCGCCTGTCCAAACTGTTTGGATCCCATCTGAGATGTTATCCCGCAACACAGGGGAGGTGAGCAGGTTTTGGCTGGATGGTGTAAGTGAGTGAATTCAGACAGAGGTAATCCACTGTGAAATGTTCATGACCTCAGCCTCACTAAGTCCTCTGTAAATACACTTGGAGTCACTGATCAAGGCCATCAAGCAGCAGGGTCCCAGTCACTTCATGTGCTTCCCGATGAGTCTAAAAACTGGCTCAACCCAGGAATAAATCATGCAGAATGTGCTCAGATTCAGAAGGCTTTGACTTTCATCCAGTTACAGATCAGACAGTTTTTAAACTTGGTATTTTACATCAAAATGCCATTCACGGTGACCAAATGATCACAATTTGTGTTCATTTTCAGAGTACCGTTTTCAAACTGATATACTTTATATCGAAAAATGTTACATTTAAGGAGATGGATCAAGCAAAAGGGTTAACGTTGCGTTTAAAAATGCTGGAAGCTGCAGATAAATAGCCAGAATTATTTAACACATCCATCTGCTGCATCAGCAGCTCATTGTTTGACAAACTGTGAACCACTATGTGCTTCAACGTAGAGACTGAAAGTTAGGCAGCATATTTGCCGTCAAACAAAGACATACATTAAGATCTTTGTGTAAACGGGAGGTTTTCAGGGTGAACAGCGCTTTGGGGGCCCAGGCCGTGTGCATGTGATACACTGTCTGGAAAGGCAGCCATTTAAATGACCTCATCTGTGCTTTCAGAACACACACACTGAGCCACTTGTTATCTCCCCCTCCACCCTCCTCCTGCCGCGTTCCTCTCCTCTGCCTCAGCAAATTCCCCCTTTCTTTTCACCCCGTTCTCTTGTGTTTTCTCCTCTGTGACAAAGACTGGTCAGACAGCCAAGACAGCAGCTGGTCCAGAGAGTCTGCTGGAGTCCCACCAGCCGCATTAATCACGGCTCAGCGCCCTGAGTCACTGTTCAAAATGTGTTCATTCACTCCGGCCATATGCAGTGATTTAACTCTGTCATCAAAGTCTGATGTATTGTGTTACAGCTCTTAATAAACCCTGCCATTTCACATTTAAAGACAGGGTCAATAAAACAGTAACGGAGCTCCAAAGGCTTTTGTGCTGCTTTTATGACCCAACACATCACAAAAATGTTCCAAAGGGATTTATTGTTGCTCTCTAATAGACTTTTACCGCAAAAGGATTTGTTAGATTTTCCATTTCATCTCTATTGAGCCTACAGTTATATCACAGTCATGACAGAAAAGATGGACACAAACCTTGAAAAATGTTTTTTTTAAAATCAAATGTACTCCATAATTTCGGATGAAAGTTCCCCACACTCAAAGCAAATTCACTTGGAGCAAATCAAACAGTTCTATAAAAGTTTTACACAACCTCCCAATAACAGGGAGGGCAAAACAATACTGGGTGCGTGGCTTCTGATAGCGCATTCAAAACAAAAAAGTTTAAACAATAACAGTAGTCAAGCTATTTGTTTGGCGATTGCTAAAAAGTTTGTTATTGTTCAAATAAACATAAACATAAAAATAGAGTGAAAAGGAGTGAAAAAGAGGAAAAAACGGGTGGAACAGCAAACTATTGAAAAAAAGCTAATTAAACTACTCATTAAGGTCTTTCATGACATCTTCTTACCTTTGCACCAATCTGGTTACCACACTGGCCTGCCTGGATGTGCACGATTTCTCTCATTATGGATGTTAGTTAGGGATAAAAGTCAAGTGTAACTATTTTTAGTGGAGTAACGCTGGGTTACTGGTTGGGACCAGTGCGAGCAGACGGCGACAGGAATCAGTGCAGAGCTGGAGTCCAACAGGCGGGTATAAAGGGATTGGAACGCACCCACCAAGTTGTCCACGCTGATGATTGGCTGCTGATGCTTCAGCTCGGGCGCTGATTGGTCAAAACAGAGGCCGTCATGCAAGGGGTTTCCTGAAATGAAAGACAAGGACCGGAAAAGGATAGGGAACGGTGTTCATCATCACTGCCCCGTTGGAGCCCCCACTCAAACAAACAATAGAATAGAATAGAATAGAATAGAATAGAATAGAATAGAATAGAATAGAATAGAATAGAAATTTATTTGCGTTAGAGCAGTGAGATATATTCACCAACATCATCAAAAGCATTTATTTCTATATTCCTTTTCTTATCTGGATCAATGTGAACCTCAATGTTTCAATTATTAAATTTTGGTTTAAAATCTTACAATTACCCAGTGAAAGCCGTCTCTCTCAAGTTCTCATTTGCACTTCCTTGGCCCAGTCATGTCACCCTAAATCAGTTTAAAAAAGGGACCAACAAGTGTTTTCTTTTCATTTGTAACTTTCCAAGTCTTTGCCCTCCCCCCCATAACTAACCATTTTAGGCAAATGTTACTTCCATTCAAGTAAAAAATCCACTTCTCAGTATGTCCGTACGACTTCCCAGTTCCATGATCTGTGTTTCTACCATTTTGAACTATTATGTTTTTTTTTTATGGTCCAAAGGATGAAGAGACCAAAGTGGGCCTCCAAACTGAGAATGAACAGCACATGACTAGAACTTATAGTGGAAGAAACCATGATAAATCAGTTTATTTTGAGGGTACCCAGGCCTATAACTACTTAAAGGCTTAACGAGCTGAGTGAAAACAGGTGATTAGTTATTAAGGTGTGTACTAACCTGGGCACTATACCAACACAGTGTGAGTATCTATAGAGAAGAAAAATAATTGGAATGGGTATACCTTAAAGTAACAAGAAGATGCATAACAAATAGATAAGAAATTCAAGATAAATTTGAACACAAATTCAAAAAAAGTAAATCATGAAAGGTTCCAAGGACTTAGAATACAGAAGCTAGAAACTAAACAGTACACAGAAATATGAAAAGAGAATTAAACAGATTCTAGCATAGAGTACTGAAAATGGAAAAGACAAAAAGAACAGGAACAGAACTAAAACTCAGTTCAGTTATTATAATCAGATGTCAGATATATAAATAAATCAAATAAACAGGACATGAGAAACAAAGAGCAAGGACTAAACTAGATAAGAATGTTTCAACAGTCAGATATTTCAAGGCAGGGAATCAGAGGTAAATAATAAACTGAAGCACAATTGCAAGCATTGTTATTTCTGCAAATGGTGAATCCACTACTTGAACGGGATGGAGCCCAAAGCCAGTTCTCTGACATTAGCTGTTGATGAGCGGTGGTGGCAGTTCCCCACCAGGCCACTAGATGGCGGACGAGCGCGCTTTGACAGATGGGCGTGCTCAAAGGAGACGCTGATCTGCAGTCATCATCACTGGCGACATCATCTGCTATTTTACAGGACTAAACATTACCTTGGATTAAGAATACGTATATGTTAACACATAGAAAAATATACCGATACTCACTCATCTGTTTGACCCACGCAGCTTAAATCCTTAGCGGTAAGTGTGTGTTTACGTGGCGTTTCTCTCCATATCTATTATTGATTGTGTGCAACCGTTTGAGAAATTTGGCTCGAAAATACTAATGAACAGCTAGCTAAACAGCTGTTTGCGTTCATTGATGTTCAAACACATGAGAGCCGTTGCGTTTACCAGCAAATGATCGTAAAATCAGCGTCGTCGGGGTTTTGGTTTTTGAACTTTTTCTGGCGGATTTTACTGCGCAGCATTTGCGTAAATTAGATTTTGGACCTGCTTGTTTATCTGCCTCCCACCACAGCCCGTCTCTTTAGGAAGGGACATTTAACATTTAAACATTTAACATATAAAGGACACGATCACAGAAATATAACATATAGAATCTTTTGTATAATCTGTTGATGGGGTGATGCCAGGAGCCTTCTGCGTCCGTTGGAAAAGACATGGAACGATTCAATCCAAAACAATGCAATAATCTTTATTGAATCATTTGAATCACGTTTCTCAGTAATTGTTTCCTGATAATCCATAACAATGCAGTTAGTTAGACCTGAGAGAGCTTCAAACAGACAGGACAAGCCTCTGCCCTCAGTACCTGTTTTGCTGATGAAATATGAATTTGTATTTATGCAGCCAGATACATTTAATTTTCAGAACAAGTTCAAATACTAGTATTTGAAGTTATTTTGAAAATATCTCATCTCATTAAATCTCAGTTTAATGTCAGGAATAAGGACGTTTTAGCCACACCAATAAACAGACACTTTTAAGTATGATTTCACTTTTATACACTATGCATTACATTTACAATCTCAACTTACATACACCTTCATTAGATCAGGATTTTACCAGATATTACAAACAAAATATGAAGTCAACAACTTCCATGTTTGTAAATAGATAATTGATTAGTTGTTGCATTATTCCAATATTAAGAACATGGACTATTTTCCTTATAATTTATAATCCTAAAGTCATGGTGTCTATTATAATGCACATAAACAAATTCTCTAAAATAATCTCTTTCCTCCACCTTATTTGTATGCTGGAAATGAATAAAATCCAGCTGGACATAGCAAAAGTCTGAAGGGGTTAATGGTGGTTGAAAGTGGCCTGCTTTTACTCAGTTGTCTCCCACTTCATTTCACTTTAGGTCTGAAGGAGGATCAGTAAACATGTTCTACACCTGTGGTCCCAACGAGGCTATGGTGGTGTCAGGTACCTATACAGTAAATCTCATTTCTGATCAGTGTGTATGTTTATTTCCACATACTGCATTAAATGCTGAGGGTGTCTCTGTATATGTATTAGCTAAATCTGGCGGGATGATCAGAACTGGAGATGTTTTACCTGTTTTTTATTCCCGCTTCACTCCCAGGGATCTGCCGTTCTCCCCCGCTGATGATAGCCGGAGGCCGAGTGTTCGTCATCCCGTGCATACAGCAGATCCAGAGGTGAGCAAACACTGGGGCTTTCTTGTGCCGTTCCTGATTGAGCATCATCTTTAAACTGACAGATGACAGTGTGATCCATTCCTGCTGTTAATTTGCACCAAATGACACATTAAATAGTGTTTTTGACGTCTTTCTCCCTGTCAGATGTCAAATTCACTGTGAAACTGGGCACTTTTGTCTCTTGAAGTGGGTTTTTCTTCCCTCACATCCATTAAAATGAATGGCAAATGTAATATTTTTCTCTTCTGAGTCCTGAAGCTGACTTTGATCCATTGTAAACAGAAGAAATGCACCATTCTTTTATACATCACATCACTGGACAATCCATCAGTATTCATCCTCTCTGTGACGTCTATAGGATCTCCCTGAACACTCTGACTCTGAATGTGAAGAGCGATAAGGTCTACACCCGCCACGGAGTCCCCATCTCTGTGACTGGCATCGCTCAGGTCAGTTTGAACCTGAGTGGACATGCAAACAGCAGGATGCAGAAAGAAGCAGAGGGATTTTACATCCCAGCTCACACATCTGAGAGTTTGATTTTAATGCATCTTTGAACTTAAATTAGCGATGCGGCTTGTTGTGAATGACCATCTACTCGTTGTATTTGCAGTTCATCCTCCAATCCAGATATCCCTTTCATGGTATAGATCTAGTGTCATAGTTTTAGCATCACAGAGGTCTTTTACATGCATTTTAGATCTGGTTCTTCTGCAGTAAAACAAGTGAGTTGCTTTCTAAAGATGAAAATCCAGGGCCAGAACAAACAGATGTTGGCTGCAGCCTGCCAGATGTTCATGGGGAAGTCGGAGCCTGAGATCGCTCAGATCGCTTTGGAGACTTTGGAGGGACACCAGAGAGCCATCATTGCCCACTTGACTGTGGAGGTGAGGATTAAAACCAGAGCACCTCCATTTAGAAGCTTGAAGCTTCTCTCAAAGTGACTCCACAGGTTATAGATAGATAGATAGATAGATAGATAGATAGATAGATAGATAGATAGATAGATAGATAGATACAAACCTGTTGACACCAGTCCAGCTTTCACATGCTGGTGAACATCTGTCTCTCACAGGAGATCTATAAGGACCGTAAAAAGTTCTCAGAGCAGGTTTTTAAGGTGGCTTCCTCAGACCTGGTCAACATGGGGATCAGCGTCGTCAGCTACACCCTCAAAGATGTTCACGACGACCAGGTATTTCCATTCCTCCCCTCGCTTTTTGTTTTGTTATCCTCACAGCTACTCTGTGGGTTCACAGGTTTTTAGAATGGAAGCAGGGTTAGCTAATACGCTCGCGGGTTAACCTTTCTTCTTCTCTGTGCTGCACAGGATTACCTCCACTCGCTGGGAAAGGCCCGGACGGCCCAGGTGCAGAAAGACGCTCGCATCGGGGAGGCTCAGTACAAGAGAGATTCTGTGATCAGGGTGAGCCCCACCCCGATCGGTCCCTGTTAACGGGACATTTGTCAAACCTGTTTCAGATAGTGCCATTTATCCACCGAGCATCATCATCCTTTGTACCGATCCGCTTTGCTCGCGGCGGGGCGGCCCGTCGGCTTCCGCTGACGCCCTCCCGTCTCTGGTCCTCCCTCTGCAGGAGGCCCATGCCATGCAGGTGAAGATATCTGCCCAGTACAGGAACGAGATCGACATGGCAAAGGCCCAGAGAGACTACGAGCTGAAGAAAGCAGCCTACGACATTGAAGTGTACACCAAGAAGGCGGAGTCTGAGATGGCGTACCAGCTGCAGGTGCCGGGGGGGCCGAACAGGAGGCGGCCGGCTTCAGACAGCATTGGTCCACAGTGGCCATCAGGAACGCATTTGGATGGTCTAATCTGTGGTTTCCATGGGCAGGTGGCCAAGACCAAGCAGCGCATTGAGGAGGAGAAGATGCAGGTGCAGGTGGTGGAGCGCACGCAGCAGATCATGCTGCAGGAGCAGGAGATCACCCGCAGGGAGAAGGAGCTGGAGGCCAAAGTGAAGAAACCAGCCGAGGCCGAGCGCTACCGGCTGGAGAAGCTGGCTGAGGCTCAGCGGTGAGTCGTGAGTTTGTTCTGACCCACCGCTGTTAATCGCATATCCCTTTAGATCTGGTGTCAGAGATGTGTGACAAACAGTTCCTCTGACAGTCCAAGCGAGATCAGTTTGTCCTGCCTGGTTTTTTAGGTCTTACCTTCAATTAAAAACTCTATTCAAACTGAATCCATTGTGTTTGGAAATAGACAGACAGAGGAGGTAAAGTTAGAAACTTTTGCACTCCTCACTGTGATCGTGGGACATATTTCAGTCAGCTGGACGCTGAATTCAGGGCTGATGCTCGGTGCCCACAGCCCAGATTCAGCCCGGATATTTCAGGGTTAAAATACGCCTTTGTGAAATTCCGCCTGCTTGTTGTGGACAGACGCTCTGAACCTTTTGCCCCTCTGCTCTGTCTGCAGTCTGAAGATGATCATGGAGGCGGAGGCTGAAGCCGAGTCCATAAGGGTGAGCCACCGGTCAACACGGCATCATTTTAGAGGAGACCTTTGCTGGCTTTGACTGCATTTGGACCTGAAGCTGAACATCATATTCAGCTGGAGTTCCCCGCCAGCTGAGGTGGCTCCCAAAAACCGAAAGAACAGTTCCAGACTTGGAGTTTGGTTTGTCTCTTCTGGGCTACTGTAGCACGACTCGGTGTATATATGTAATGTTCTGAAGTTACAGAGGCCTTTTCACTACAATGAAAACATATTTTGGATTATTTTTATCATATTGTCATATGAAACGATGAGGAGGAACCCTCAAACCGACCAATTGGTATCCATTTAAGGCAGATGTAAGAGATTTTTCCAGGATAAACTTCTGTTATAATGTTTCAAGCTGCTCTCCAAATGAAAGGGACATTTTCAGAGACTGAGCAAAGAATTAGATTCAGACTCTCTGTCTCTCTTCACTCCCTTCTGGACTTCTAATCAGGCTGATGGTCGGGTGAACTCTGAGAAGCTTCAGGTATTTTTAGTTTTACAGGCTGCTCCTGTGGAACTTGTGTAACATTTAAGGGAGATGCTTTCATGATGATCTGGGATTTTTGCTGAACAAGAAGCGGAGGGTTGGTGTTTGCTGTTTCACTGAGTCTGTGCTGTTGACTCTCAGGTTAAAGGTGAGGCCGAGGCCTTCGCCGTGGAGGCCAAAGGTCGTGCAGAGGCAGAGCAGATGGCGAAGAAGGCGGAGGCCTTCCAGCAGTACAAGGAAGGCGCCATGGTGGACATGCTGCTGGAGAAGCTTCCTCTGGTGGGCAGCGGCCGCGCCAGGTCCAGGCGCCCTTTTGATCCGTTTTGACATGCTGTTGCGTTTCCTTTGCGCCCAGATGGCCGAGGAGATCAGCAGGCCTCTGTGTGAAGCCAATAAAGTCACCATGGTGTCCAGTGGAGGCGGCGAGGTGGGCGCGGCCAAGCTGTCCGGCGAGGTGCTGGACATCATGACCCGCCTGCCTGAGGCAGTGGAGAAACTGACCGGGATCAACATCTCCCAGGTACCCCTCCTTCTCTAGCCGTTTTCCTCTGGAGGAGGGCTTCCAAGCACCTCCCTCTCCTCTGTTCTCTGCCTCCATCCTGCAGGTGTCCTCTCGTACAGGCTGAGCTGGCAGATCTGCTCTCCCGCTGTCTCCCCACCCGGATCCCCGTCTCTCCTCCCTGAGATCCCCGGCCGCTTTGTGATGTTTCTGTGCTGTAAAGATGGTCACCCGCCTTCCTCTGGGCTTCAGTTTCAGCTGTTGTTCTAAGTAGAAATATCCAAAATGGTGCTGAATTCAAAGCCCTGTAAATTATTTGATCATTTCTGTCTGGTGACTTCTTCTGTAATCTGACCACATTTAAAACTAACTGTTTTGTATCTTGTGTTTTTCGTAGATTTTTGTCCTCCTCTCTTTGCGTCTGAGACCCCCCCCCCCCATGTTTGATGTCTCTTTCATAACTGCCTGTGTGCACTGCCTTGCTGCCAAACCTTAAGTGCATCTTAGCATGAGCGTGTAATAGATACATACATCAAAAACCTTCATTCACTAACACTTCTGACATTTGGCTGAAAGTGTTCTCAACAGATCAATTTTTTTGGTCCTGTTCCTCCAGATGTGGCAGGTGGTTACGATTTAACAGGTAACAGAAATTGTTCTGATGTCACCTGTAAGCGCCTGGCATCTCTGTTGCCGTTTTCTTTTGTTATTGGTGACATATATTTTTAGGGGTACAGCTACTCAAGGATTAAGTCACCATTTATATTTATATACATCTTCAGTGTTGTCTTTCCCCACTTCAGGTTCCTTATCCTGCATCAGTCAATCAGCTTTTCAGTGTTTTAGATTTCTGTTATTTGACCCCTGCTGTGACTTTTTTTCTTTTAAAAAGTTCTTGTCAAGTAGAGGCTTATGAATTGTATTTATTTATTAACTGGTAACCTCATCTTACATCTATACAGACAAACATGCATTCGATTTTAAATGTCAGAGTCCAAGCTGAAAGTCACTCAGCCAGAGGTGTTGACCCCCCCCCCCTCAAAAATTTTAGTGGCTTTCAGCTCTTTTCTTCACACTGTTGATGTTTACAGACGTTCTGTGGAGCTGTACACCATGTAGCTGCTTCGGGGGTAAAGCAGAGCCGCTGGCATCTGTCTTGGTGATAAGGAAAAGAAATTGTTAATATTGAACCTTGTGCTGGATTAAATTATTTGAGATGCCAGTTTATGCTGCAGGGGCATAAATGCCAAAAACAATCGCCTTCATCAGAATTCTTGGAGAATTTTCTTATTTTTTCCTCTCTCTTGATCATTCTTACTGAAATATAAACTATATTGTTTTTTCATTTACATAAATGTAATAAACATAATTGTGAAGCAGCTCAGTGTTTGGGAGCAGAAACCTCTGAATGCCGCTATCACCCATAATTATTCTGCTAATGTTTGTGGGCTCTGAAGTGTTTCTGCTTTCACTATAAAGTGTCCCAACTTGCCTTAAGTAAGAAGTCATGCTGTTAGCCTCTACCTCGCCTCTTTGGCTGTCTATCTTAAAATCAAAGTAATTTTTTTAAGTATTATTTTGCATCAAATAAGATGAAAATATCTACCCTTTTCATTGTTTTAACAGTAGTAATTTGGTCTTCTTATTTATTGACAGCTCAGAATTTATTTTAAAGATGACGTTGTCTTTTTCCTTTGTGATACCCATCATTCGCTGTCTTTTCTGTGAAATCAGGTTACAGTCGGGCCAAATGTGCTGAAAGTACTCTTCAATATACATTCACTTGTATTTGATGATTAACACTACTGTCGTTATGCATGTATAAGTACCTATTACACTTGAATTGTAACATTATCGTGCAGAAATCATATGTCTGACACAGTAGGCAGGTGTCACTCTGGAGTTACCAAAGTAGGTGATAACTTGTTGGATGGTTTGTTCGCAATTACAGGAAAGCAGCTCTGCAAGTTGAATCGATGTAATTATGCAGTGTAAATTTGATATTTGACACAGTAGCTGAGTAGCACTGTTTGTTTAAAAAGTCAACACTGACAACTCCACAGTAGTTCTCAAAGGGAAGCTTCTGTGTGTTATGTAGAAAAACATATTTTAGCTTCTGCTGTACTATATTGATGAAGTTCTGCCTAAATAAACGTTTATTGCATTTAAGTTATTCATAGGGCATTTCAAGAAATTTGTGTTGAAGCAAAATGTTACTCTGCACTTCTGTACAAGATATACTTATTACAGTTTAAAAGGAAAAGATTGTCTTTGCTGTTTCTGAAGGCCGAATATCATTCTGCTGGATGGTGTTGAGTTTACACATCAAATTCTTTGCATGTTTTTGTTGTATTTTTATGGGTTTTATTTATTTGATTGTACTAGATACATTTTGTCTACAGTGCGGTCAAGATAATTATTTTTCAAGGACATTTTTTCTGTCATTATTTATTCATACATAAACATCCTTTTGTTGATTTGAGACTGAAGTTATTTGAGGTTAAAAGAATGCATATATAAAACAATTAAAACAGTAAATTGCAACGTTTGGCTTTTAATAAAAAGTAGTGCCAACAATGTAGCATCCAGTTTGAGGAAAATGACTCATAATGCTGTAAATTGTGTATTTGATGATGGTTGGAGTCCCACACCGTTAATCAATAAACCGGAAACACAATGCTAACCTCGGTAATCGTGTCAAATTAAAGGAAGATGTTCAACCCAGAAAAGGACGCATGTGGATTTTGTATTCAGAATAGAGACAAGTGTCTCTGTCCGGGAAACACTGTCCTGTGTATTCATTAAAATCTTTGAAAAACTGAAAAGAAACAGTTGAAACCGAAAACATGTCGACTATCAAATCTAAAGGAATGAAAGTGTCCAGACATCAAAGAAAACAAGCAAATCTATAATGATTACAAAACTATTGGAAGTTTATTGGATAGACTCGGGTAGGGTTTTGAGATTGTCATTGGTTTTCATCGTTGAGGTTCTATTTTAACTTTTAAAAAAGTGAGTTAGTGACACGCGTCTAAAGCTTTATTCTCAAAGAGCTTAACAGGAAACTCCGCCATTTAAATCCGTCCGGCTTGACAGGGGAAAAGAGCTGGAGGGAAAAAAAGGAAAAAAAACGAAGAAAAAAAGGCAAATCTGAGGGCTTTGAGGGGCGGATTTGGACAAAGTTTCCCAACTGTCCCGACCCGAAGAAGCTCCGGGGGGGTTGAAGGGGAGTCCAGTTCACCGGTAATTAACACAGGAGTTATAAGTCGGTTGTTAATTAACTGTTATTTTCAGTGTGTCTGAGAGCACCGTCGTCCCAGCCGCCGGAAGTCTGCATGAAGCTGCGTCTCCAACAGAGGCAACGGCGTCGACGTTTTTTTTTCTATTTTTTTTTTTTTATTCGAGACTTTTTTTTTTCTTTTTTTTTTTTTTATTCGAGACTTTTTTTTTCTCTTTTTTTATTTTCTCTCAGCGAGATGAGCAGAGAGTGAGGAATGGAGGCGTAGGGAGCGAGGATGTTTGTGTTTGCTGAGCGGCAAGCTGGTTAAGCATATGAACACACGGGCCTCCTTGTAGCTAGAGCAACCCAGCGAACAAAAGGAGAAAATTAATGGAGGCAAGTTAGCTAGCTCCCCTTGTCTTGTGGCGTCAAACGGCTACCGTTAGCCATGTTTGCGTGTGACCCTGATTACACCTTTAGCTCTTGGCAGCCGGTTAGCTGCAGAGAAACACATCTGTCCCGAGAACCCCGAAGAGTGTTTCCTGAATGAAGCCAGTTCGTTTATTCTTTTTAAAACAAAATATCACCAATCACTGCTAACGTTAGCTCATTGCTAGCTGTGCCACAGTTTTGGAGCCAGCTTGTTCCCTGTCGTCAAAAATGGCTCTCAGAGAACTGTTACATTGACTCTGATACACCAAATATCCTCCCCTATATCTGAAGCTGAGTGTCAGAATAGCTGCGGTATATGGGAAATTAATTAATTTGCCTCAGAGGCTTTTCACATTTTTTATTAATTAGCTGAGCAGCTGCCGATGAAAAAAGCTCATGAAAGCAAAGCAAACATGCCCCGAGTTGTGTTGCATGAAATATGTTGATTGTTTCACAATTTGTGGTGGTGAAGCCCAGTTTTCTTGCTCCTCGAATCTTTCACATACGATCAGAGCGGATATTTGTTGTATAAACCGCTAGTTAGGCTTAACTAACATGTAATTATATGCATGTTTCTTTTTGGTGCGTGACCAACATGGCTATCTATGCATGTCATCCACAAGCTTAACAAGCCTTCCGAAAGATAAATTTCACCACTAATTTTCTGTGGGAAATAAAGTGCAAGTGCATGCCAAAATTTAACAGTGACAATCAAACTGTCCTCCAGACAAGGGAAAAAAATATCTGTCTCAGTGGGAGATGATCACAAATGAGGAGAAAAAATGAAGATTCAATGAACGCAAGGTGCATCCTAGTCCTCTAAACAAATACAATTAGAGAGGATATTACTCTGGAAACATGCACCATCGTTCAGTATTGTTCTCAAAAACAATTAATTGATATATTACTGATAAAGCAACCTATTAAAGATTTTGTAGTTTGCTCGTAGCAACACATTCTTTGTAAAAGACTGGAGGTGCATGGGCTGTGTTACTAATAAAAAAAGATTAATTATCATGTGGGTTTTCTCTATCCTGCAGATTTCTTTATATATATATTAATCCATCCCCCTGGGATGAACATCTTTGCCTGATTCCTTTTGCATCCTCTTCTCTGTAAAGCCAATCACTTATCAAACCTAAGACAAAAAGCTCTTCCCTTTAGCCGCTCGGTTCTGTGTTACCTAATTTAAATTTCTCATTTTAACCAACTCTTCTCCAAAGATTCTGTCTGGCTTTATTTTAGTGGTTAAACGTGTCAGCCTGCACAGGAGAGGATACAGAGGAAAGGAGCTAAGATGACTATAAGCAGCCATGCATGCTCTCCTTTCATGTGACGGAAAAATAAAAGGAATCAATAAGGAGGGAGAGGACAGGTGTTTTCTAAGTGTGTTGCTTTTTAATTACAGAAATAATGGACGATTCCCATTTCAACTCATCATACTTTTGGTCTCCCGTCCCCACTGTACAAGGACAGGTAGAGACAACCTTATTGTTGGAATTGTCTTTAAATACACATGGTATAATGGTATGAGCCATTCTCACTTTGTTTATGGAAACACTGTAAAGCTTACATAACTCCAGACAATGATTTCAACCTTAACATGTTTTTGTTTTTTTTGTTCATAACTCAGCCGATAAGTTGCTGGAGTTAAGCTCACAGTGAAGCTTCTTCTATGTGAATTTTGGTGTGTTCACTTGATCACGTGATCACTCCTGTCCCTTTCCTCTCTCGCCTCTCCATTTCCTCTTTATTCCTTTGTTTTCATTTACTTTTTGCATCTCACCATGCACTCGTATTTTCTTCTCTCCCTCCACTCTCTTTTCTTCTCTTTCCTCTATGATCCAACCCTTCACTCATACCCGTCTTTCTCCACGCTTTGACTATCAACTTGTTGTTTTTCCCTCCTCACGTGAACATCATTTTACCCACTTTTTAATCGTCCCTTCATGCATCCCTCCCTCTGTCTCTTCTATTTTTTGTCTCCAAATATGAACTTTTATTACCCGCCCCCTCCTTTGTCTTCATTCCCTAATGTTTCCCCTCAAATTTAATTCCTTGTACATTTCTTCAATCTGCGCATGTTTCATCTCCTTCCTTTCTTGTCAATATATTGCCCACCCCCCACCCCACCGTGTCTTCCTCATCTCTGATAAGTCTTCTTCATATTTTCTATCCATTTCCTTCCTTCATTCTTTTTGTCTGATCCCACATTTTAACTCACCCAACCACCCTCATGAATCATTCTTACCTTCCCCGGCCCACATTCCCTCTCCCCCTTTTTTACTTCACCCTTCCTTCTTTCCTCCCTCTACTCACCACTGTCTAGATCGAGAACGCCATGTTCCTCAACAAGGCTAAAGAGCAGCTGGGTCCAGAGAAGGCCAATGCGCCCCCCTTCCCTCACTCCTCTGCATCTTCCACCTCCTCCCCCCACTATCCTACAGCTGTGCTCGCAATCCCGAGCTCAGTGGATGGAGGGGCTGGAGTGCGGGTGGTCCCCAAACAAGAAGGAGGTGGGGGTACTGCAGGAGGTGGAGGAAACAGCGGCAGCTCCTTGAGTGTAGTCGGGGGACACCTCCACCAGTCGCACACCTCGCAGAACGTCACCGTTGTGCCTGTTCCCTCCACCGGTATCATGACTGCAGGTGAGTCAGTTCTGTCCGTTTTCCTGCTTGAATCGCTCCCCTCAGGTTGTCATGCATCTGTTCTCTTATTACATTTGGTGGTACCGCTTTAAGACGGGTGCTTCTGAGAAAGGCGAACTATAAATATTCATCAGCAGGTGCCTCTTATCTTGATCTCATCTGTTTTTCACTTTCTTTGTATTCAGTGCCATTATTAGCACTTTCATGCTGCAGCTTTAAGGAGCGGCTCCTAACGAGCACTGATCCAGTTTTTATGGGAATTTAAAGCCTAATGTTCTTGTTAGATTCGTCTTGATATTGATACTTTGTTAAATGTATTCCTTTTATACAAATGACTGCAGTGGCTTTGAAAACTGGAAGTCCTGAAAATGAAATGACTCTTCCTCAGACATTCCTAGCTCACACAAAAAGCTAATAAACCAACATCTGGACCGCCTGATACCAGTCTGTCTTTGTATTTTTAGCGGGATTAGTGATCACCACCCCACAAGGCACGCTGGTCCCCACTGCCTCCACACAGTCATTTGTTGCTGGACACCCCACTGCTACCACCATGATAGTGTCAGCAGTGCATCCCTCGAGTACAGGTAACACACAACTGACACGCATCAGTACAGTCGTTTAAAGAAATGTGATCAAAGACTTCGCCTTTCAGGGAAAATGTGTTCATTTCACACTGATTTATAGTCTGCATCTCACATGGACAGACAGTCTGCTGTGTGGTTTGTTTGGTAGTTAATTATTTTATCAGTTTTTAGATTTTTATTTACTGCTATGGTTTAAATTATGTTTCTTAAATTGATTTATTTATCCATCACAAAAATGATCAAATAAAATTGTTGAAAGCAAGCATCTGAAAAAAATATTTTTATGATGCTCATATCAAAATATGAAAAGCCAAGCAGATGCACACATAGTCTTCTCTGAGTTATGGCAGTCGTATTTATTCAAAGTCATATTTTACTACCAGAAGAAATGTGCTGTTTGCTGGTTGACACAGACATGATGATGGATGTGCTACTGAGACCTGAGAGGCTATTCTGGTCAGTGAGTCAGTGAGTGGTCCTAAAAGCTGAAGTATTATTATTTCATTGATATTCCAATTGGGAGCAAACCTTTAGTAGATTTCTCCCACTAAGCTTAAACATCTACAAAACCATTCATTAAAACAAGTTCACAGTGGTTTAACTCCAGATGTGTGGAACATGAGGATTGTCTTTTCGGTAAATTTATTTCGGGTAAAACCAGACAAAGCTCTGGATTTAAAGCATCAGAGCTTGGTGCTGTGGACTCCCAGCAGCTGCGACACAGCGGTTCAAAAGCAGGCAGCACAAACATCCTGTTCATGACTTAAAGTCAGCCTCTACCTGTTTCTGGACTCTTTAGATCTCTTTTGGGCTAATTTTGAATAAAACATCTTGAAGATGTAAGCCCCTTCCATGTGTACATTTTTCCTCTCAGATAAGAAAAATGATGTTCCTCCTGGTGTTGTCATGCCAACACCATCGAAGCGAGGCAGGAAGAGCAAACAGGTGATGGGCCGAGTGGGTGGAGTCCTCCCCACAGGAAGCGACGCATTAATATTGGCGCACCTTGCAGCTGGTGGACCGGTGAGGATCTCTGTGACTCAGCTTCTTGTTTTATTGCTGTTCATGTTGTATTTGTAAGATCAGAGTGATTCGTTGTTAATATCGTGTTTCAGCACCACACAGCTGACCCATATGATCTATCTAACGATGAGGAAGATCATACCAGCAAAGATGGCCCCAAATCCTACAGGTAGAAACAGATGTGGGGAAAAAAGAACTGCAGTTCAGTTTAGTCACAGGTTCAGGCTCTCCTCAGCCTGTGTTTGTCATTGAGCTTTTCTTCTCTGTCTCACTTTTCTCCCTCCGAGGTGTCGGATGTGTGCAGTGACCTTCTTCAGCAAGTCGGACATGCAGATCCATGCCAAGTCCCACACTGAGGCCAAGCCCCACAAGTGCCCCCACTGCTCCAAGTCGTTTGCCAACTCCAGCTACCTGTCCCAGCACATCCGCATCCACAGCGGGGCGAAGCCCTACACCTGCACCTACTGCCAGAAAACATTCAGGCAGCTCAGTCACCTGCAGCAGCACACACGGTACTGAGCGGACTGCTTTGTGAGGTCCTGTGTGCGCGTGTGTGTCTGCGAATGCAGGCACTCGCTTCGCCTGCAGTCGCTGTTGTAAAGCATGTGCATGAGCGTCTGTGTGGTGATGGGACAGGGGAGGAGTGGGTGGTGAGCTGGGGAGTTGTCTATAATCTATAAAAGTTATAATTCGGCTACATCAGGATCAACATTTCATTTCCAAGTGATGTCCCGACCTGTTCCCCTCCCACAGCACAGGTGGTTTCTGAGTCTGGAATCAGCTTTGGGTCAAATGGCCCTAGAAAATTCACTCCAGCTCCCATCTGCATCGCTGGCCGCTTTATATCTAGCACACCTGTTTATTTCCACTAAGGGGCTCCGTTTACAGCAAAAAGTGTGCAAAGCTCACTGTTATGTAAATGAGACCTGCTCAAAGATCATACCGTCCCACATTAAAGCTCTGAAACTCAAAGCAGCCATTAAGAAAAGAGAATAAAGTGACAACTGGCAGATCACTCCCAGTCCTTCCAGTGGCCAGTCAAAAATATCAAACCAGCCATGTTGTTTTTATGTCTACTAGCAGGATGTAACTCCAGATTTTTGCTTTTGGTTTTTAGGTGTTAGTGGGTGTACCTTAGACACCGATCCAAATGAAAACACCCTCATTCCTTTCTTTGCCATCTTCTCTGCACCTTGCATGTTTTACAAAAAAGTACTAAATCGTTTAAAGCCACTAATCACAGCTCTACTAATTATGTGTGACGCTGTCATGACCTCTTAGGTTGCTTCGTGTCTGGCTCTGTCTGCACCTTCCTCATGTTTTCATGCCCTGGACTTTCTATTCAGGCAGTACTTTTCAAACGGGAGGATCAGCTCCACCGGCTTGCCACCTGACTTTGATTTACGGCGTAGTTTGACTGCGGAAACAGAGACACACATACACGCGCACACACACAGAAAAATGGAGAGCGAGCGAGAGAGAGAGAGAGAGAGAGAGAGAAAAGCGTGACTGTGCTTGCTGTATGTTTGTTCTGTGTTTTCACAACTCAGACACAGCACAAAGAGCACACTGTCAAATCATCTGTGGTCGCCCGCAGATCTTTCCAACCTAAGCGCATGATTTGGTCTTCGGTTCATCGTTAAGTTTGGTCATGCTGCAGCTTAAAAGTCTCTCGCTGTTTCTCTCTCTGTTTCTCTCTCTCTCCACCCCCTCAACCCTCCAATCCCGGCTTCCCGTGTTAGAAACCACACTGAGGCCAAGCCCCACAAGTGCCCCCACTGCTCCAAGTCGTTTGCCAACTCCAGCTACCTGTCCCAGCACATCCGCATCCACACCGGGGCCAAGCCCTACACCTGCTCCTACTGCCAGAAAACATTCAGGCAGCTCAGTCACCTACAGCAGCACACACGGTACTGGGCCGGGCCGGGCTGGGCTGGGTTTGGATTGATCAGGTGGGGTTTTTGTGCATGTGCCGGAGCAGGTGTGTTGGAATGGGTTTCTCTGTTGTCTTTTTGAATGTTTGTCTGTGGTGACATCTGGCAGATGTGTCATGGTACCACCTGGGTTTTTTCACTTCAGTGGGCCTCATGCCGCCATGACGGCAGCCACGATCAGCGTTCCTCTTTTAAGCCCCTTTCATACACAGCAATTCAGTACAGAGTCAGAACGGGGCTCGAAGTGGATCCAGCACAGGCACACCTCAGAGTTAGTGACAGGGCCAAACGTGTCCCATTCATGTGTGCTTACACACATCAAAGAGCAGCTGTGCTCACTCAGCTGATTTGTGACACCAGTGTGATGTGTGTGAGGACTCATTTCTGCAGGTCTGAGCGAATTCAGAGGCGGGTCAGCGGCAGCTTAACCAGAAGCTCTTTTTCCTGTAAACCAGGGTGATGTCCAGGTTTCAGAGGCATCTCATAGATTTCTTACTGCTCGTTCTTTAATTTAAAGTTGCGTTCCACCGTTTCTGTTTAAGTTAGGCTAAGAATCTGTCTTAATGCAGTCTGTCATGGGAGACTTTTTAATATTGATAAGATAAATATCTTGTGTGAAAGTAACAAACCTTGTGTTGTGGTAATGGATAATAATTCCTTTTGTTCTTGACCTAATGGATTAATTTATGGTATTAACTACAGAAAATGCAGTTGTCTCCATATAATGGGTTGATATATCTTGTTTAGGTCTAATTATTTTCGTTGTAACTCGATCATCTTGAGTCACATTATTCCTGGATTGGGTTCCTAATCAGAAATAAGTTATGTATCCTAATAGAGAATAGGCTCGTCACTCTGATATTTTTTATCTTCTTTACACAGCAGCATGATGTTTGGAGTGTGATGAACTGATCTGATTTTGCAGAATTCACACCGGTGACCGGCCGTACAAGTGTAACCATCCTGGTTGTGAAAAAGCTTTCACTCAGTTATCAAATTTACAGGTAAGCCGATCAGATTTTCCCCTCTTCTTCTGATCCGCTGGAAGCTGTTAAGCCACCTCCCGCCCCCACCCCGCAGCTCATTTTCAGCTAACTAAAACACAGATGCAATCTTGTCATAAATGAATTGGTCGGCTGTTTTGCGTCTTCCAATGAGGTGCTCTGTCTTTGTTACTCGCAGTCTCACCGTCGGCAGCACAACAAAGACAAGCCATACAAGTGCCACAACTGTAACCGTGGTTACACAGATGCCGCCAGCCTGGAGGTGCATCTGTCCACGCATACCGTCAAACACGCCAAGCTGTTCTCCTGCGGGCTCTGCAACAGATCCTACACCTCGGTACGCTCCCTCTTGCAGACTTATTTAGTTGCAGGAAGCTCATTAGGAAATCTGTGCTGGTATCACATGCTCTTCTTCTCCGTCTTTCCCCAGGAAACGTACCTGATGAAACACATGAGGAAGCACAATCCTGACCCGCTAACAGTGGCAGCCACCGTAGCTGCCCAGCAGGCCCAGGGCCTGACGCCAGGCGGAGGGGGGGGGCGGGGCCGAGGCCGTGGCCGGGGGAGAGGAGGCGGCAGAGCGAGCCAGCTCCAAAGCCAGACCAACCCCAACAACACCAACCAGAATCCTAACTCTGGACCAGGCGGCTACCAGCAGGCCCAGCAACCCTCAGAAGCTGTGGTCCCGTGCCCGTTTGATCTGCACCAGTACAAGACAGTGGCAGCCAATGAGATCCAGTACAAACCGGTCACTGTGGCAGACCTGCCCGTGACCCATAAAGACCTCTGCCTAACCGTTTCCACATCGGCCATTCAGGTGGAGCACATGAACTCGTAGGATGCATCCTCCCGCTCTGCTTGTGGGGTTTCTAATCATGTCTGCAGTGTAAAAAGGTCCACATGAACAAGTAATTTCACAGTCTCCAGAAAGCAAGAAAAATGGCTGAGTTTGGAGCACGCCCATTAGCCAGATACAAGTCACCTGGTTTAGTGACACTCTGCAGAGGTAAATCGGTTTTTATTCACTCAAAACGGTTCATTTTGAAAGGGATGAAAAGGTGTTGCAATACAATCATGAGACAGAAAAACCCAGTTAGAATATTCAATGCAATGTTTAATGACTTATAAGTCAGAGATATTTTACAATGGATCCTCCTGCTGTGCGCTTCTCAGGGGGGAAGCTGGTTCAGGCTAAAGAAAAGACGCTAACCTGTTTTAAGTGGTTGGGGTGGTGTGTTCAGAGCTTTTTGATGCAGCTTTATGTAGTTTATTCCTCAGCTGGGGGCCACATTCTTCTTAAAAACCAGAAGAATATTTTTAATGAGATGATAGTTTGATTCAAACCTGGACATGTCATCTTTTACTCACCCCCGAGTGTGTAAAAGCCATCACCGTCTTTGTTTGGTGAAACTTTCAGCACCCTTATCCTAAACCAGGAGCCCCGCTCTGAGGGACGACTGGAGGATGAAAGTGTAAAATATCTGAAATGTAAAATCCCTCTGCTCTGTGCATTTCTGGTCCAGAGAGCTGGATGAAATCACTGTTAACGGTTTCCAATGTTTAGTTAAAGCCTGAACAAGGAAGACAAGGAATTGTTGCTGAACAACTGTAGGGATTCGTAAAAGCAACTGAAATGACAGAGTACTTGTGTTGGAAAGAGCAGCCACGATGGATGAGGCAAAGATGTTTCAGTGGCATCTGAGCAGCGCCATGAAGGACGGCCTGAGAAGGAAGACGCGGCACATTTACGGCTAAACTCACAAATCCTGATCTTTTCATCACATCTCATTTTACCGATTACCTCCATCCTCACCCTGAGGAACGAGGGGCCGAGGAAGCATTTCTCTGTCAGAGCCCAAAGTACTGAACCCAGGAGGCTGAGAGGTTCAAGAATGTACTAAACCTGAGGAGTCGGCAGCAGAGCGGAAAAGACAGGAGAGGTCACAAAGAAAGAAAGCACTTGATGAAGCTTGTTCTTCATGCCTATGTTTGTCATCGTTAGTCTTTTTTTTATATATATATATATATACATGTTTGTATTTTTCTACCAACAAAGGAACATGTGAACATACAGAGAGAAAACACAGTGAGTGCATGAATGCGACGGGAACCGAGAGAAAAGTCCCTAATTTCTGTCCCATTTCTGTTACTTTTCAAAGAGGAGCAACTTATTATCCTCCGGTGAGAGAAGACAGCCCAGCCTGTCGCTGTCAGGGTCGTAGATGGTAAATAATGATTGTGTGATAAACACGGCTGACAGGTACTGTTATCAATCTTTTTTTAAGAACTTTTCATACATATTATTACTACTTTCATTATAACTGTATTGCAATTGTTAGCCACATTATATCCAGTCTGAGGCATTATGGGATTGCAGTATGCTGTACATAAAATAGATAGAAAAGATTTTTTCATCAGTAAAAGGGAAGGATGTCTTGTGTACAGAATATAAGAAAACTAAAGGACTCCAGTTAAGCACCAAATCACTGGCTGTGTCCCGGGTCACCTGACTAAAAAAAGATCGGCAAAGATTGCAAATAATTGTGAATTTCTGGCTCTCTTAAGGGAAGTTGCACTTCTGAGTCGAGTTTACAGAGTAGTTATTAAAAAAGAACAAAGTTTTATTTTATTTTAGGCCCATACAGGCAAAACAACATTTAATCTCAAAGGTTAAATAAGCTGTGACCTGGGAGACTGCACAGGCCACCTCTACCCAATCAGAAATGTTCAAAGAGCCTGTACAACAGGCAGCTCATCTTCATGTATACTCCGCCTTGTATTTCATTGTGTCTTTTTAAGAAGATTAACGTACCAATGCTCCTGATAATACAGTTATTAACTGCCCTCCTGTACTACACTCTTGCATACTGTATGCACAGTTAAACCTCTTACTCATCTGAACAGACTGTTTCTTCCCTTAAGGAGAATAAAGTTCAATAACTGTTTATGATGAAACACCCTCAGCATTTTGTTTTTTAACGTCTGGTTCATGTTGATAAAAGGTAAATTGGGACAGAATCATAAGTGGATCTCTGTTTCTGGGGCTGGATGTTTTTAATTAACCCGTTTTGGAACTGAGATTTCCCCTGACATGTTCCGCCTGATTTCCGTTTCATGTGGGGCAGATTAATCGGTCTTGTGTGATTTGAAATTTGCCGCAGTCAGCTTGAAAGGTTGGCTTGTCTGAGAAGTGAAGAATTATTTTAGCTGGAAAGCCTCAATTTAAGCGTTCATCAAAAATAGATGAAAACTACTTTGAATATTCTAAAGGAAAAGTATAACATTATATTTGTAAGAAGTATGAGCACATAATTATTGTGTTTTTTGTTTTTTTAAAAAGGTTGTGAGCACATAATTACTATGGAAAATAGAAAAAGCTTTGTACAAATGTACAGTCATGGCCAAAAGTTTTGAGAATGATTCAAATGTTAATATTTACAAAGTCTACTGCTTCAGTTTTTATAACAGCAATTTGTATATACTCCAGAATGTTAAAAAGAGTGTTCAGCATAACAGCAATTAATTGCAAAGTCAATATTTGCCTAGAAAATGAACTTTATCCCCCAAAACACATTTCAACGTCATTGCTGCCAAAATGGCTCCAGGGCGCCCAAGAAAGACCAGCAAGCGCCAGGACCGTCTCTTAAAAGTGTTTCATCTGCGGGATCGGGCTACCAGCAGTGCAGAGCTAGCTCAGGAATGGCAGCAGGCAGGTGTGAGTGCATCTGCACGCACTGTGAGGCTGAGACTCCTGGAGCAAGGCCTGGTCTCAAGAAGGGCAGCAAAGAAGCCACTTCTCTCCAGGAAAAACATCAGGGACAGACTAATATTCTGCAAAAGGTACAGGGAGTGGACTGCTGAGGACTGGGGTAAAGTCATTTTCTCTGATGAATCCCCTTTCCAGTTGTTTGGGACCCCTGGAAAACAGCTTGTTCGGAGAAGACGAGGTGAGCGCTACCACCAGTCTTGTCTCATGCCAAGTGTAAAGCATCCTGAAACCATTTGTGTGTGGGGTTGCTTCTCAGCCAAGGGAGTCTGCTCTCTCACAGTTTTACCTAAAAACACAGCCATGAATAAAGAATGGTACCAGAATGTCCTCCGAGAGCAACTTCTCCCAACCGTCCAAATGCAGTTTGGTGATGAACAAGGCCTTTTCCAGCATGATGGAGCACCTTGCCATAAAGCAAAGGTGATATCTAACTGGTTTAGGGAACAAAACATAGAGATTTTGGGTCCATCGCCTGGAAACTCCCCATATCTTAATCCCATTGAAAACTTATGCTCAATCATCAAGAGACGGGTGGAAAAACGAAAACCTAGGAATTCTGACAAAATTCAAGCATTGATTGTATTTCTGTATGAGAAACAGTGAACATCTGACATACACACATGAAAACCAGAGGGCAGCAGATCATGTGAAAATATAATATTTGTGTCATTCTCAATACTTTTGGCCATGACTGTAAGCCAAAAAATGTAGGAAGTAAATTAAAAGGTAGATTTGAGCTGAACAAAGGTGAAACACGTTAATATGGGAATATTATTCGTATTCTATTTAAACTTTGAAAAAACAGTAATTTGAAATGAAAGTTTTTATAATGTTTTTAATGTATGACGTACTACAATATTAGTAGACGTTTCATTCGCAATGGTCGCCCGTAAATCACCATTGACGCGGAGTTAGCTGTACAAAAACACTGCATACCCCGCCCAAGTCGCACATACTGATTAACAAAGCGAGCGTACATGAACAGGTAGGTGGGGATTACAGTGTTTCAGCCAATCACAACAGCTCTTTCGAAGCGCCCACCAAAACAGTTCGATTTCAAATTCAAACGGCCGGAGACGGTGGATTTGAGATACCCTAAACCAGGACGTAGCCCGATTTTAAGGTATTTATTGTTTCTGTTTCATGATTTGCCCTTGATTCCACGTTAGTTTTGAGTTGTGAATTACAAAAGTCCCTCCGAAACCGCACATTTGTAGTTATTTTTGGTTAACATATTTATAATATGTGTTATGCTAACATGATGTCAGTAACATAAACGTTTGTCAATATAAATTGGCTTTAAACAGCTAACGCACAATCAGTAGGTACTAACCAGTTTTTTCGCTTTTCTGTCAAGACAGTGATAAAATGTCATGCTACTTTTGACCAACCTACTCTTTGTAATAGACTTTTGGGCATATTTGTCTCTTTCTTTTGTCCCAGCAAAGATGGCTGTACTTCGTTGGTGCTGATCAGGCTTATAGTCCTTTTGTACATGAATAATGAGTAATAATGATTCTGATATAAACAAAAGCAGCCCGTTGCACTGCCATAGTTTTACATTTGGATTCCCTACAGGCTTTGAGATCTATTTCAAATAAATTTGCTTTGTTTTTGTTGTAGAAATAGGAGTACAAAGTTATTTACTTTTGACATTTCACCAGTTTGGTGTTTAGATTTAGATGAAGATTTCGTGATCAGCTGATTAAGTGTGATAGAGGGTTGTACATACTAGCCATTTCTTTTAGCCTTGTATGTACCATAATTTATTTTTCCTTTCCAGGCAGACGATGTCCCGCTTGCCAGTCATGACAAGCAAAAGGGTTCTAACGAGCAGCAGCTCCGAGAATTCCCAGGATTCAGCGCCTGCTCAGGTTGGTAGAATCAGTGATCTGCCTGTTCTTTACCTGCTTTTTATTTATTTTGTCTTTTTAATCTGCTGAAAACTGATGTGTTTTTTTTTTGTATGTCTATTTGCAGAAGAGGATGCGTAAAGACCAAGAGATGCACAAATCTCATGTGGCAGCCACAGTTATCGGAGACAAGCGACCTGCTGTTTCATCTGCCAGGGCACCAATTTGTAAGTTATTTCTAATTTCTGAGCATCCTTTATTGGGTACTTTTGTTTAGGTATTGTTTTCTATACCCAATATCTCGGAATAAAGTTCATGACAGGGACATCAGATAAACAAATTGAAAATAAATACTTCTGACAGTTCTGTTAACATTTCTGTGTATCCGTGTTGTTTGTTTTTTTCCGTTTGCGTTGTCAGTCCTATGATAATTCATTATTTTCACGTCTGTTGCCTCTGTGCTGTTGTTAAGTCCGTCTCTTACACCTGTTCTGTTGCACAGCCAAGCCCGTCAGAAATGCCGGAGCTGCAACTGTGGCCTTTGGTCCATCCAGAGGTAAAATTATGTTTACCAGCTTTGTCATTGGCCATAAATTTTAAGGAAGAAATACACCTAAATGTCACATGAACGTGTCTGAATGGTGCGCTTTAACACCTCCATGTCCGTTTAGGTGTTCAGAAGCAGGCTGCAGCATCAACTGCTCCCAGAGGAGGCAACATCAAACAACCTGTTGGTGCAAAAACAAGTGAGACACTTTCCTTCTAATTAGTTCTTTATGACATGTATTTAAAAAAAAATTATCAGCTTTTCTTACAAATAATACATTTCGGCTTGAAATGTGATTAATTTACAGAGCATAAATAAATACATGTAGGGATAAAGATGAAGTTCATTTCTCATAAAACTGATCCGACATTTTCCAACATTTAGGTTTAAATAAATATAAAGGATGCCTCATGGTGTCTCTGTGACAGGCCTCTGTACAAACGTTCTGGGGCTTTTAACAGGTTTTAAGCGCCTGCTGTCATTACTTTGGAGGCAAATGCATGAAAAAAGACTTCTGTTATGCTCGTCCTAGCCACTGGGACCGCGGCCACCCGGCGGCAGCCCTGGGACTTAAAAGGCAAAGTCACTGACATGGAGGGAAAGCTCCGCAACTACCAGACGAAGGTCAAATCTGTTAATGAGGAGAACGAGCTGCTGAAAGGCTCGGTGGCCCAGAGTCAGACCCACCTGTCGGAGCTGGAGCGGGAGGTGAGCAGACAGAGGAGCCGGATCAGGTAAAGAGTCCTTTTCTTTTCACCCATTTGTTCTTCTACTAGCTTTGTTTGGAGGCCAATCAGTGCCCTTTCCTCTGGTTTTCAGCGATTATGAGCTGAAGCTGCAGGCTCTGTCCGGAGTCCGAGAGGAGCTGGAGAAAGTGTCGAGCGACAAGAGCTCTCTCCAGAAGGAGCTCTCCAATCTAGAGGGGAAATACAAAGTAATGGAGACTCTGAGAGACAGCCAGGAGACGGAGCTGCAGACCCTGAAGGTGAGCGACATCTGGCCCCGTTTGCAGGTACCTGCCTGGGATTTGATTAGTGAGAATTTATCATGTGTATTCCTTTTTCCTTCCCTGTGCAGATGAAGCTGTCGGTGCAGGAATCGACGCTGGCCCGGCTGCAGGCCACCCTCAGAGACACGGAGGAGGACGTGCGCAACCTCAAAGAAACTGCTGCCCAGCAGAGGGACGAGCTTCACGCCGGAGAGATGGAGCGCAGACGTCTGCACAACACCATCCAGGAGCTGAAGGCCAGTGGCTGCTCCCCCGCCGGACTCTGAGATTCTGACCCTCCATAACAACCGCTCTGCCCCCTTTTCTGGTGCAGGGTAACATCAGGGTGTTCTGCCGCGTGCGTCCAGTGGTGGACGGAAGCCAGAGTAAGCACATCCAGCTCCCGACCAGTGACGACAAGTCCATCATTTTGGCCAAAACGGAGGAGGTGAGGATGCAATTGTTTATTTAGGAAGCATTTATGGTTTCTCAAAACGTACGATTTTCACCAGATAAAACTGATACTTCCATTTTCTTCCTCTCAGTCTCACACCGGCAAAACTGCAGACACCCACAAGAATTACAATTTCAGCTTTGACCGGGTGTTTGGGCCGCAGGGTTCACAGCAGGAGGTACGTGCTGCTCAGGCACCCCAAAATGTATCTGCCCTCAAAGCTCTTTGGCCGTTTTCCTGGTTTAGGGGCTCAGAGGAGACTGAAGGTGCTCTGTGTTGTCAGATCTTTGAGGAGATCTCCCTGCTGGTGCAGTCGGCGCTGGACGGCTACAACGTGTGCTGCTTTGCGTACGGTCAGACGGGCAGCGGGAAGACGTACACCATGGAGGGGGAGGAGTTCGACGAGGCCAGGGGCGTCATTCCCAGAGCTGTGCAGCAGGTCTTCAGAGCCGGCGAGAAGCTGGGAGCCCAAGGCTGGGAGGTGAGTTTTATGAGATGATCGCTAATATTTCCCATGTTTCTTTTTTATATACTGATCAATGTCTTTACTGTGCTGAAGGTCAGATACAGGATTACACACCCAGATCAGCCTGTTTCCAAAGACAGCTGTCACATGTGGTTACCAGAGGGCATTTATTTATTTGTCCTGTTTGTTGGATCTTAGTTCACCTTCACGGCCAGCTTTGTTGAAATTTACAACGAAACCCTGCGGGACCTCCTGTACACCGGCAAGGCCAGCAAGCGGCCGGAGCACGAGATCCGAAAGGCAGCCAACAACGAGGTGACCATCACCAACCTCACCTACGAAAAGGTTTACACGGAGGACCAGGTGAGGACGGAGAACCCAGGGCTGGCTTTAGCCTGTCGAACACTGGACACTAACCGTAGACAATCCGCCCGTCCTCCAGGTTCTGGGTCTGATCGCTCTGGCCAAGCAGAACCGCTCCACCGCCCAGACGGCCCAGAATGACCGCTCCTCTCGCTCCCACTCAGTCTTCCAGCTGCACATCGAGGGCGTGAACGCTGGCAGAGATGTCAGGTGCAAGTGTGAGTGACCGTCCTCATTGGTCGAGCAGCAGGAAGTCCGGTTTCCCCTGAGTTTTAAGAGGTAAAGCTCGGAGAGGTTAAAGATAGAGAAGGGTTTGAAATCTGTGGTTTTCCTCTCGTGTAGCCGCTCTTTGCCTGGTGGACCTGGCTGGCAGCGAGCGGATGGTGAAGAGCCAGTCTCAGGGGGAGCGCTTCAAAGAGATGACCGCCATCAACAGCTCCCTGTCCAACCTGGGCATCGTCATCACTGCGCTGGCCAACAAGGTGCGGGCCAGCTGGACGCTGCTTTCCGAGGGGCTCGTCTGCGTCTGGGTGCTCCTGCAGTTTGTAACCTGAGCTGCCTCTGTGTTCCAGGAGAGCCACGTTCCATACAGGAACTCCAAACTCACCTACCTGCTGCAGGGCTGCCTGGGAGGAAACAGCAAAACGTGAGATCTTCATCACTCTTAACCGGAACTTCTGTGTTTGGTCACTTTAAAAGGCGCTCGTTTCAGTCTTTTCTCTCTAAAATCCTGTTTGATCTGATAATCTGCTTTATTCTTTATTTGTAATGATGTCTGTGACCATTGTGTTGTCTCTCCAGCAGCTCACAGATGATTTCAGATCATTGTGTTTTTGTCTTTGCAGCCTGATGTTTGTGAACATTTCTCCAGAGCCCGACAGCTTTGGGGAAACTCTCAACTCACTGAGGTTTGCCAGCAAGGTCAGTAACGTGATCATAATTCACCATTTTTTACTAAGAAAGTGAATGAAAAATATTAATTGAGACAAGAAAGACTTTGAAATATAAAGAAAATCGGACTAAAAGAAGCTGAAGCAGTTTTATCTCCACTTGTTGCACCTCATTGCCTTCCTCTTATGTTGGTCTTTTATCTCCACAGGTCAACGACTGTGTGATTGGAACTGCGAGTTCCAACAAGAAGTAGATGAGATTCCTCATAAAAAGTCCGCCATTTTTTTAAAGCTTTTTATTCTCTCTTCTGTTCTGGTGCCACCATGAACTCTTCTCTGTGTTTTATACGACTAACAGGAAATGCAGTTTGGCACACTGTAAGACCAAAAGCTTTTTATCCTCAGGGCCTTGATTAGTGGACACTAATGCAGGCTTTAGATGACTCATAACATTTCTGTGTGAATCAGGCGGTTCTATACGTGTACATATTTCTTTGTTTGATTTAAACTTTTTTTTAAAGCTCCCAGAGTTCAGGCCGAGGCATTTCTCTGGTTGAGACATTTAATCCCTGTTATTCATGTTTAAATAAAAAATACGCATTTCCCCTGCAGCAGTTTGTTTAATTGTCAGACGACTGTTAATTAATGTGGTCTGTTTAGTTATTTTTCTGACTTAGTTTTGCAGATGAGTGTCTTTTTTTCCTGAGCCATCCTGCTGTGATAATAAAGACATTCAGTAGATGGCCAGTTTGTATTACCTCTGCCCCCCCCCCTCCCCAACCATGATCAGTACAAAGATTAAACATCTCTGTTCAGATGTTTTGTTGCATTATTGAATTGTTTAATGACTTCTGTATATATGGACTTTTTGTTGATGTTTTTCATTCCACCTGTTGAAAATAACCCTAAAAAAACATATAAGGTCTTCATCCAGCCAGAGTTTGTAACAACCATGTGCTCCCGTAAACGTCGCCATATTTATGTATTTCCTATGATTGAGAACGGTGTGCTGTGATTGGTCGGCTCTTGTGGCCTGATCAGCCTCCGCTTATAACTGCATCACCTTTTAAAAATTGAATATGTCACTGAATATAAAAGAAAAACTCACCTATAAATGCCTTTGGAAGCCTGTTACTTGAAACTTATTGGATTGTTTGTGACATTTACATCTATATACCTCTATATATCATTTAGAATTAAATATTAGCCGTTTTGTTTGGACTTTAAAGGAAAATATCATCTTATTATTAAGCAGCTTGCACACAGTCATAGCGGGAGATTATAAGACCGAGATTGCTTAATGTGTTTTAAATTTATTTCATTTAAATGTCGAATTAAAATTGTGAGGAAAAAGTTTAAGAAAATGATGTGATCAAATGTGCATTTAAAGGTGTAAAATCGCTAATTCAGAAGTACATCATTAAATTCATCATCATGTAAGAGATTCAGGCACTAGGTCGGGTTGTTGTCTCGTGTTTAGCACCAAATAAAAGATCAGACATCGACTCGTCTTATTTTGTGTCGGCCAAAGTCTGGCTCCTCCGTCTGGATCCGCCTTAAAGGCGACGCGTGTCTGTCTGGAGCTGCACACATCTGATGGTTCCTCAAAATGCTGCTCAAACTTCAGGCCGTGGCCCACGCGGCGGGACAGACTGCCTTCGGCCCCCCCGCGGACTGGACCTCTGACCGCTGCAGGCTCCACTGAAACGGTGAGCTGGACACCGCCGGGGGCCGGCCGGCCAGCTGTCCGTCCAGCCGGCCGGCCGGGGGCTAGCTAGCAGGCTAACGCCACATCTGGAGAGGGATGCATGCAGCAGCTGTTTTAAGCAGCCCTCGGTGCGTGTTGACCGCCGTGCACGGCCGGCTGCCCCTTCACCGGTGGCTCGGTGGCCGGTTGGTTTGCTCGCGCGCTCAGCGTGTTTTCATGTCGCGTGCGTGATGTTTGATGTAGTTCACAAATGGAGGAGGAGGAGGAGGAGGAGGCTGTGCAGACATCTGGAAAGTGCACAGTGACTCCGATCTGAAGTCAAAGTGTCTGATATTCGGTGACAGTGTGCCGTGCGGTGACAGGCGTCTTTCAGGCTGGAGGATGCGCAGAAAACGCTGCCAGAGGGACAAAAAGCTGCCCAGAAACAGCCTCTGACCTCCCAGACGTCCAGCAGCCGCCACAGATTTGACACATTTCATCTATGTGTCATTTGCAGTCCGTTTTTGGGCCCTTTTGTGAATCAAATCACGTGGTGACCCCTGTCACCTCTGGATTCACATCTGGAGTCTCATCTGGAGTCTCATCCTCTCCAAATCTGGGCTCAAGTGTTTTGACCACTGGTAAAAAGAGTTGGAAAAATAGAGAATTGTTTTAACCGAAGAATAAGAGATCATATATCTGTATGGTTAATAAATTATGACGTAAGTAAGGAGGACATATTCCCACAAAAAGGACTTTCTCTGAGGTCTAAATATGACCAGAAAGCTTTTAACAGACCGGCAGAAATTCCCACAGACAGCTTGAGCTTCCACTGTGTCTGTTGTGAGGCTGTGACTTGTGTTAAAGATGCTGCCATCATTTCCATGCAGAATGTTTTAGAGCATCTGTGCCTCAAAGAAAAGTGTTTGTGGAGGAGAATGCAGAAACAGAAAACAGGGATAGCTCCCATTAATTCCTAAATTATTAATAAAAAGTTCAGCGCAGCCAGATAACCCAAAAAATGACTAAACTTAAGTTTAAATATTAAGCAGAGTGGTGGCAGAAAATAGAAACAAGGAACTGGAAACCAATGAGACAAAGAAGAGAACGAGTATTAGAAAAGACATCAGAAAGCAAAACGAGCACAAAAAAACTCAAATTAAAAAGATACAGGAACAAAATTTTAGAAATCAAACCAAAACCCAAGAAATTCTCAAGAAAGAGGGAGTTTTTCGTTTTTCTGAGGTGAAACAGAATCAGAGAGCATCTTCCATCAGCTGCTCGTATTTCAGGGCTCAGATTACAGCTGCATATTTAATCAGAGGTCCTGTAATCAGCCAATGGATTTGTCTGAGATTCAACAGAGGAATGGAGCGGCCCTCTCCTCTTCCTCTGCTCTTCCTCCTCTCCTGGTTCTCTTTGTGCTTCCCGCTGAGTCCTATTTCAGCTTCCTCTCAAAATCCTGTTTCCCTTCATCAACTCTTTTGTTGTTTATGGTCCTCTCCTTCCTGCTTCTTCTACAGTGCTCATCTTATGTGCTTTGGGTTTTTATGGTTTAAGGTTTGTCCCTTCTGAAGTTCTTCATCCTGCCATGCAGGAAAGATCTGACACAGGTAGCTCATTTGATATTTTGGCAGAAACATCAACAGAAGCGTAATCGGCTCTTATAAAGGAGCAGATGTCCAGCTGACTGATGTGTGAGGCTGTAAACTGAACCATTCTTCAATCTGGCCTTTTGATAAAAACTACTTGATTGGAGGAAAATAAATATCTCCCCTTTTGCCTCTTTAGGAGAGACTCTGTAGCAGAGCTGCAGCTGGAAAAAAGCTCTTTTTCGACAAACTTTAGTGTTATTTTTCCTTCAGTCGAAGGCAGATTGATCGTGTCTTGTGTTTTGTGGAGGCAGGAGAGTCGGACGGCCGAAGGGCAGCAGATCTCTCAGGGAGGCCCAAAACAGCAGGAAAGTGCTTCTTAAGTGGAGGCCGGTAGAGCAGCTGGTCCTGGACCTCCACAGTGGGGGGACCATGACCCCCCCGCTGAGGACGGCTCTCTCTGTGACCCAGATGCAGTCTCTGTGTGTGGAGGTGGGGAGCAGCAGTGGGCCCGCTGGCCCCGGGGGCCCCGGGGGCCCGGTGGTCCAGGTCAGCTTCCCCGCCGCCCAGAGCGCGGTGCTGGACAGCCTGAACCGGCAGAGGGAGGACGGCCGGCTCTGCGACCTCTCCATCCACGTCCAGGGCCACCAGTTCAAGGCCCACCGCTGCGTGCTGGCCGCCTCCTCGCCCTACTTCCACGACCAGGTGGGCGGCGGGGGGGGGGGGGGGGTTCCTCACACGTCAGGTCAGTTTTTACCGCACGCAAACCGACCGGAACAGACTCCCAGCTCAGACAAACACACGTCCCATCCACAGCAGCGTCACAACAGGCTGAAAACAAAAGAAGGACTCAGAGCAGTGAGCTTTTCCCAAAACGGTTTTAAGTTAAAACCTAAAGCCAGAACGAGCAGACCAGGCTTAGCCAGTTTCAGCTCCAAAAACCAGCCAAGTCAGCAGAAATGTGTTGATTTGTGTTGTTTATTCAGCGTTCAGAGGGGTTATTTACAGAATAAAGCGGGGGGGGTGGGGGGCAGAATAAAGCTCCCCAACTCAGAAGCTGCTGCTTCCACCTCTGATGACCTCGACTTTTAGCTCCGGTGGTTCAGGGAGAGTCTGTTAAAGCCCCAAATCCCATTTCAGAGCTCAGTTCTCAGGTCTGATGGGACGTTGACCACGAGTCTGCCCACCTCCCTGCAGGTCCTGCTGAAGGACATGTCCACCGTGTGCATCCCGGCGCTGATGGACCCGCTGGCCTTTGAGGGCGTGCTGCGCTGCGCCTACACCGGCCGGCTGCAGATGCTGCGCGACGACATCGTCAACTACCTGACGGTGGGCAGCGTGCTGCAGATGTGGCACATCGTGGACAAGTGCACCGAGCTGCTGAAGGAGGGCCGGGCGGCGGCGGCGGCGGCCCAGGGGGCGGGTGGCGCCGGTGGGGGGGGGGGGGGGCGCGGGGGACGCCTGGGGGGGGGCCGGCGGCTCGGCCACCCCCGGGTGTAGCAGCAGCAGTAGCAGCGGGGAGGGGGGGGCCGAGGGGGGGGCCGAGGGCGGGGCCGGCGGCGTCCCCGTCCAGGCGTCCGGCGAGCCGGCGCGGGCCCCGCCCCCCCCCAGCCGCCCGCCGGTCAGCGAGAGCCAGTCCCCCAGCAGCACCAACTACTTCAGCCCCAGAGACGGCAGCGGCTTCGGGGGGGGCGGGGCGGCGGCGGCGGGCGGGGCGGCGGCCGACGGGGGCGGGGCCAGCAACACCCCCAGCTACTGCACACCCTCGGGGGGGGAGGAGGCCTTCCTCATCGAGGAGGAGGAGGAGGAGGAGGCGGAGGAGGAAGAGGAGGAGGTGGTGATGTACCAGCGGAGGAAGAGGGGGAGGGGGGGAGGAGGGGGGAGGAGGAAGAGGGGGGGCTGCCTGTCGGAGCGGGAGGTGGGCGTCAGCGACAGCTTCGGGGTGTCGTCCTACCAGGTGAGAACCCCCCCCCCCCCCCCCCCCCCCCCCCCCTGTGTTCTGCCCGAGGGGCCAGACCCGCCCTGACCGTAAATGTCCCCCCCCCCGGTTCCAGGACGGGGAGGACGCCGCCACCCCCCCCCAGAAGCGTCCGGCCTACAGCCAGCCCAGCATCATGCCCCGCAAGCAGTGGGTGGTGGTGAAGACGGAGCGCAGCGAGGAGGACGACCTCATCCTGGTGTCGGGGGAGGAGGGGGGCGAGGAAGAGGAGGAGGAGGAGGAGGAGGAGGACCGGGACCCAGAGGTGGAGCTGGCCCGGGGGAGGGGGGGCAGCTTCAGCATCTCCAACGTCCGGAGCCTCTCGGCCGAGCTGGGCGTGCGGGCCGACGGCGAGCTGGACTCACAGGTGAGTACCCCCCCCAGGTGAGCTGGACCTCACCCCTGACCCTCCAGTAGAGGGGGTCCAGACGCAGTCTGAGCCGCCGTCTGGCCGTTTGGGTTCCTTTGCCTCCGGCCGGACCTCAGCCCCCCCCCCTCTGCCTGCAGGTGGACTTCTGCCAGTCCTCGGAGGACTACCTGAAGTTCGAGGGCAGCCTGATGGAGCAGACCTTGGTCCAGCACCTGCAGGACGGCGCCGGCGTCCAGAGCCAGAGCGCCGGCCGGGCCGTGTCGGCGCTGCTGGGCCAGGTCCAGTCCGCCTCGGCCTCTCGGGCCCAGCTCTTCCCGCTGGACATGCAGGGGAACCAGATCCTGCTGTACGGCCAGGGCTCCGGCCTCCCGCTGGACGCCGGCGCCGCGCCCCCCCTGGGGATGGCGGCCGCCGGCCTGGGGGGCGCCTCCTTCAGAGGGCCCGGCCCGGAGCACGGCGCCGTCCACCTGCAGGCCGGTTTGGGCGCCGACGGCTCGGAGGGCGCCGGCATGGGGGGCGGCGCTCCTGGCGGCCTGGGCGGCGCCGCCGGTGGCGGGGGGGCGGCGGCCAAGGTGTTCATGTGCCACTGCGGGAAAACCTTCACGCACAAAAGCATGCGGGACCGGCACATCAACATGCACCTGGACCTGCGGCCCTTCCACTGCCCCGTCTGCGCCAAGAAGTTCAAGATGAAGCACCACCTGACGGAGCACATGAAGACGCACACGGGCCTCAAGCCCTACGACTGCGCCGGCTGCCGCAAGAAGTTCATGTGGAGGGACAGCTTCATGCGCCACCGCGCGCACTGCGAGAGGCGGGGGGGGGGGGGGGGGGGGGGCGGGCGGGGGGGGGGGGGGGCCGCGGGCCGGCGGCGGCGGCGGCGAGGACGGGCTGGACCTGATGGCAGCGCCCCACCTGATGCTGTCTGCAGGGGAGGGGGGAGGAGGAGGAGGGGGAGGAGGGGGGACGGCGGCGCGGGGGGGGCCTGGCGCAGGAGGCGGCGGCGTGGCGGCGGGGGACCTGGCGGGGGGCGCCCCCCTCAGCCCCGGGCAGGAGCAGGGCGGCGGGGGCTTCGGGGGGCTGGGGGTGGCGCGGGGGGGCTGCCAGGAGGACGTGTGCGAGGTGAGCGCCGACGAGAGCAGCCTGGCCTAAAGCAGACCCCCAGCTGAGAGCCCCCCCCCCACACACCCCCACACACACCCCCACACGTCCTATGCCCTGAAGGTTGGGTGACGAGCTGTGATTGGTCAACACAAACAAAACAAACAAGGACCACAGCTCATAAAATCAGGACAGATTTGCCTTCGTTTTCCTGCCTCAGTGCTCCATCCATGGGAGGGGGGGGGGGGGTTGGGGGGGCTCCTCTAGCCCAGTGAAGGCTTACCGGTGAGTGTCTGTCCAGAAGGTTCCAGCTCTGACCAGAAATCTCCTGAAAGTTAAGAACCCCCCTCAGGAGGCGGCTGAGGGGGGGTTCTTCCTCGGTTTTCCAGCAGATTTCAGCTCCAGGGGAACATCGAGAACATGACCAGAGGAACGTCTCTGCTTCAGCAGCGAGGTTCCTCAGACTGCCTCTACCCACAATGCATCTGTCGTCACCGCTCCGCTTCTGTCCTGGCCTCCAAAGAGGAGAGGAGGACGTTTTGGGATGAGATGGAGAAGGTCAGGCCCCCCTTTTCTCGTTGCTTTGCTTTCCTTCGGGTTCCAGCAGGCCGTCAACACATTCTGACCTCAGAGTTTTTGGCTCCTGTTGATTCGTGTCGTGCGCTTTAAACCTGATTTAACACATTCTGTTTAACAAGGATTTTTTAAATGAAATAAATAATCCTGACACAAGATGGTTTTTAGAAACCCTTAAAACTTTCATTTATGTCTTTTAGCACATATGTAGCATTTTTAGCACATTTTTTTATTTATTTATTTCTAATCAATCTCATTAGTAAAGTGGTTTAGTGCCTTTTTGCAGACATTTGCATAGTACAGATTTAAAACAGACTTTTAAATAAATTCTGTTCTAATTCTTGAGATGAAACCTTTTATATTCATAGAAGAAATCATCCGACTAAATCAAAGTGTATTTAAATGAATAATGATATTAAATAAAAAGTTCACCAACGGTTAAAATGGATGCAGAGAGTGTTGGATAAGTCAGTATTAATATAATGATAATATTTAAGTTAAAGACAAACATGGAGTTAAATTGTTCTCGGGTTAGGGATGCTTGGTTTGGTTTAATATGTAAATATAAAACAAGTAATCAGCATATTTTTACAAATGTTGAGTCATTTTAAATTTTAAATGTAATTTAAAACTCATTTTATCCAACTTTCTCTTAGGTTTGGTGTTACAGAAATGATTCTTCATGCAAGTTTCTTCATGCGATTTTATTCCTCAAACATATGAAATGTTTCATTTTTAAACTAAAAAAAAACTAACGTCCTTGGTATCAAAATGTCAAATTTTATTAAAGCCTCATGAACTGAACTTTTTTAGGGCATAAAAGTGAAATCCAACCAGTGTGGACCACATTTTCACGGTGTGTTTTTTTGTGTTTGGGATTAGTTTGGGTCATAAACATCTCAGGCACCCTGAAATTACTTTAAAGACTTTATATTCGCTTCAGATATCTGTCATTACTGATTAATATTAAACTATTTGAGGTAAGGGTTCTCCAGAAGGTGGCGCCGTTCAGTCATTTTCACACACTTTTCTCCCTCTGAGGACAGAAAGAAGTGATGGACAGATGTGTGTCCAGTACAGGTTTAGCTAAGTGGTGAAACAGAAGCAGAAACTTCCTGTTTTCTTCTTCTTTCCTTTCGCCCTGCGGCCATTAGTCGGTGAGATGTGAAAATGCATCAAGCTTTTATTAAGACTTCAGTGTTTCAGAGCTGCAGGGAGCAGTTTTTGCCTGGATGATGGGATGTTTTACCTTCTGTGAAGGCTCATTATGGAGGTTTTAAATGTGAAGGCTGCTGGGGGCTCCGCCCCCTCCTCAGTCGTGTTTCAGAGTCGTTTTGTTCCAGAGGAAAAGCAGAACATGAGCCAAATTTATGGGATGTTTTAGCTGACTTTAACACGTTTGAGTCACTGTAAAAAGTTTATTTGTATGCTTAGAAATGTGGAAATGAACCCAGATGATAACAAAATGAAACATTTCCAATGATAACATCTTTATTTCTCTCTAGTCCATAAAGGCCAGATGTTTATTGTTTGTCCCAGATGTGAAAAGCTAAAGTGGAGGAGCTGCAGTTTGATACGGTTTGTCGTTTGTTTTGATCTTTAAAGCTGTGATTTGAGCTTGCACCGCCTCCACATCACTCAGTTTTATTGGCTAAAATGATTTCTTCTTAGAAATGAATGAGGGCCAATTCTTGTAAATAAGATTTGTCTGAACGGCTGACAGACTGACTGGAGTGTTATCATTTTTGTACGTTAAACAATGAGGTCCAAACAGCTTCTGAATGACCGGCTGATTGTCCAACAGGAAGAGATGTTAATAACTGTAAAATACTGCAGAGCATCATTAATCACATATATCTATCGATTAATAAATTATTTGGGGCAAATATCCACCATCAGTCTGAGAATTGTGTCTATTTTCATTTGATCTTCATTTTAACTTATTCATTTGTCTCATAATGAGTCAGACTAATGAGCCACTGTCTCACTGTCTCCACAAAAACTTTTAAATCTACTAGATCCACAAAAAATCCCTGGCCTGTCAGGGCTGAGGTGAACATCGCCTCCTTTCACTGCTAAATGAGCAACACAGAAGCCGTTTTATAACAAAATCTATCATTTATTTGAATATCAAAAAGGAAAAATTCACAGTGAATGATGAGTCACTCCGCGGCATAAACGATTCCAGCTGTTTTAATAACTCTGAAAAGAGCTTCCTTCCCCCAAATGTTCCACCAATCAGCTTAAAGTGAAAGAAAATGGGATTCTGAATGAATAAAGCAAAAGAAATAGAATAGTGGAAAGTTTCCCCACATCAGTGCTGCGACACACAGATACAAACACATCAGACTTTATTCAGAACACCAAAAATGAGGGATCTTATTGATCCCTTATCTTATTACAAATTTAATACTATGTAATTCAAACAAAACTCACCTTAAATACCTTTTAAGTAAAAAAAATAACGGAAAAATCTGAGCTGTGAGGACTCTGGATGGGGGGATAACTGTGCTCTGATTGGTTAAAAGTTTCTGGGCTTGGTTCAATTTTCTTTTTTTGGACTGAATTAGTGTGTGTTCTGATGGATTTTGAAGCCGTTTGAGAGGCATTAAAGTGAAAACATTCTCTTCTAAAGCTGCTTAAAGAAATTAGAGGCTTTATTTTTCTCCATGTCAACGAGTCCAAATATGAATAGTTGTCTTTTCTTATTCCGGCGGCCGGATGCTGCAGCTCTGGGGGTTTGGGACTACTTTCTGAGGTGGATTAATCAGAACACATTTGTGGCAGCAGGGCGTGTGGAAACGTCTCCACTCGATGGAGCAGAATAACAAAACGAGAGCAGCATCCCGACATGATTTTCCTGCAGAGGAAACGGCTCAAACCAAAGCGAGTGTTGAAACTTTAACTTTAATTTCGCCACCTCCACAAACCTGTGAAACCGTGACAAAGACTTAAAGGGCGACCTGGAAGCAGAAACGACATAATGACAAACCACCACGCAGCCGGCTCACTCTGAAATTCCTATAAATACCAACAGCAACTAAGACGTCCCCTCAAAACCCCCCAAACTCCCTCTGATTGGTGGAGGAGATCCTCTGTGGATATATAAAAATGTAAACTAAGCTTTGTGTCAGCCGGCCAGCGTCCTGCAGGAACAGAACCCGCCACCAGGGCGGCGCCGTTTGTCCGACCGGGCACCAATCTGACCTGAAGTTCTGGGTTGGGCCCCAAGCCGAACCGGCGGCGTCCAGGCGGCGCCGGCCTGAGAGGTCGGCTGGGCTTTCGTTTGGCAGCTTGAGATCTCGACTCCTAAAACAAGATTTACATGGACGCTTTCTTCTAAACTGTAGAATTTCTTTTTCCTCCTGGCGAAGGTGGAAGAGTTCAGATATCGGCGGTTCAGTCCGAGTCCGACAGGACGATGATCTCATCCGGGTCGCACTGAGTCGCCACGTTGACCTGAAACACACACAGAGGCCCCGTTACACCGATCCCCTCTGCAGCCCATAAACAGCATTTAAGCCTGGCTCTGCTCCTTCAAAGCCCTCAGACCCGCATGGGGAAACCTCCTGTGAGCGGCTCCATAGCTGCTAAATGTCTGATAGCAGAACTAAATCCACTTTCTGTCTCGGGGTGAAGCAGATGGCCTGATAAATAAGCCCTGAAATGGAGAAATAAGTCTGTGCTGCTAGAAAATGTTCCTGCTCTAAAAAGCACTAAATGACAGCAGGTCTGTTAAAGTCTGGATACTTCTAATAAAGCTCAGACCACAAAATGGACACTCTGAGCAACCCGCCTCTGCCTCCCCACCTTGTTCCTTTTGGGGGGCGGCGTGGACTGCGAGCTGCTGACCAGATCCTGAGTGGGCGTGTCTGCCCGGCTGGACTCCGCCCACGCTGGCGAGCAGTAGCTGACGACGCCCATATCCAGAGGGATGTCGGCCTCACTGGGGGCGGGGGCAAATCAGAAAAAAAAAATTAAAAAAACATTTGATCAGATCCGAGACATTTCCCTTTAATCATTATTATTATTTTCTCCTCTGCCCGGCGGCTCTCACCTGTCCCGGATGATCTGGTGCTTTATGTCCTCTGGCGTCTTCTCCTCCCTCTTCCTCTTCGTGCCCCTCGTGGTTCTGGGGCTGGGCGGCGGCGAGGTGCCGTTGGACGTCTGCGTGTCACACTGCTCCACGGTGACCGTCCGGGGCGCGGGGGACGCCTCCCCATTGGCTGCCGCCGGCGAGCCCACGCCGGCGTCCTGGCTGAGGGGGTTGGTGCGGACGAAGACGATGGACACCTGATTGGAGGAGTCCACGGGATCTCCGTTGGACAGCGGCTGCTGGTGGTCAGGGGGCGCGGCCTCCGACTGGCCGGGGCTGTCCCTGGGGGAGGGCAGGTCGGACAGGGGGGAGATCTGGGACTTGGTCTCGTCGGAGACGGGGCTCCCGCTGGTGGCGGGCGCCTCCTCTCCGGCCGAGACGCCCCCCTCCTGATCGGAGCTCTGATCCTCCCTGGTCTCGCCCTCGTTGGCGTCGGCGTCCTCGTTGGCGTCGGCGTCCTCGTCTGCGTCCTCGTTGTCGTCGTCTGCAGAAGGAGGAAGGTCAGATATGTCCCTGTGGGCAGTTGGTAGGAGTTAAAGAACCAGCCTGACCTGGTCCCTCCTGCTGGGTGCTGGCCTGGATCTCCTCCTCTATGTCTGGATCTGAGGATGCATCTTCCTCTTCTTCCTCCTCCTCGTCCTCCTCCTCCTCTTCCACCCCGTTCGCCTCCTTTGACCCTGCTTCTTTTCCCAATTTGTGAGCCTGTAAAAAGGAACAGAAGCTTTAATTGAAGCCAAAAGCAGAGGGGACCCTCTGGTTTGACCGGAGCTATCGGGAGCCGTCCGGTCCTCTCACCTCCTTGTCCCTGCTGTCTTTCTCCAGGCGTTTGCCCCGCTCCTGCTCCTCGCTGTCCTCCTGCTTGACGGCGTATTTGGTGATGACCTCCTCCAACCGGGACACAGCCACCTCTCTGTTGGACTGCAGCTTTCGCATCAGCGAGCGGTCAGAGAGCGCCGGGTCGGTGCCTGAAGAGGAAAACACCAATCGCTCAGGGAAAGGAGGAAAGGAACAAAGCTATCCAACCTCCAGATGCAAAGAGTCTTCCCCCAGAGTTGTGATGTGTTTCTCATTATCTGTCACAGTTGGAATCAAGCGACTTCTTTAAAGCATCATGGGACTTTTTTTCTCCCCTGAATCCTCTCTACTCAGTGTATAAAAACAGGAAGTGGTGGGAAGTGGTTTAACCAGAGAGCAGAAAACCCGGAGCCCAGCAGGAGTTCGGGTCTCCAGCTGCGCCTCACCCTCAACATTTGCTCCTGAACCTTTAAACAGTTTGCAGCTGCTCTTTTAACAGCTGGTGTCGTTAGGTCGCGTTCCACCAGCCCATTTAACGCCCATTTGTGCCGCTCTGAAGTCGGCAGGAGGCTGGAATGGTTCTCTTTAGAAAGCGATAATGAGGGGGGAGAGAAACCCCCCCCCACGTCGGGGGGAGGGGCTCTTTTCCCTGGAAGGCAGCATGCCATGTCAACAATGCGAGAAAGACAAAGAGCTCAGATCTACCATTCCAGACAGACTCAGAGTCTGTCCAGCTGCTTTCACACAGCCTGCTGCGGAGGCAGCTGTTTTAACCCCAAACAGGGGGGGGGGGGGGGGGGTCACAGCACCCCGCTGACTGAGCAGCTATCCCACAACATGGAGGGAAACCACAGTTTCCTCCTCATGACTGCTGAATCCGGAAGTAAAATCAGCAACTTTTTCAGCCATTTGACAACGAATATCGAAAATAAATCACTTTGACCCAGAGCTTTAACCCATTTCTCAGCACCCCCCCCTTTAGAGCCCACCCCCTCACCGGGCTTGTAGGTGTCGGTGAGGTGCGAGCCGAAGTTGTAGACCAGGTCCAGGTGGCGGCGCTCCTGCATGCGGCTGCCCGTCTCCCTGAAGGCGTCCTGGGCGATCTGGGTCAGCTGCCTTTTGCTCAGGCACAGGTTGTGGCGCGCGTTGGTGCGCGTCACCTGCTGCAGGATGTCCAGGTAGTCCGGGGGGTTGGCGTGGGCCTCGGCGCTGTTGATGAAGCGCTCGATCTGACAGACGCACAGGGCGGAGTCAGGACCCCCGGCAAAGCACGGACCTCTGAGCTGCACAAACTCATCGCTCGCAGGCATTCCACAGCGGCCGGACACACTCGGAGCAGCTCACCCTCCTGTTGATCTCGGGGTAACGCGTGCTGCTGTAGGGAATCCGCTGCTCTATGACCCGGCCCGTCAGGGTGTTGCAGCCCTTCAGCTCACACAGCTTTTCGTAGATTTTCATCATCTGGAGAAGAAAGAAAAGAGAGAGGAGCTGCCACGCCTGTGCGTGCGGGCGGACCCGGCCCCGTCTCCATAATGTCTGTCCTGACCTTCCGCTTGAGTTTGTGCTCCTGGATGTACGTGGAGTCCTCGGCTCCCAGCTCATCCAGACTCAGCTCGGCCTGCTGCAGGCGGCAGATCTCATCGTTGTAGACCCTCAGGAGGTTCTCCAGGTAGGCGATCTGAGAGGAATCCAAAATAAGGGATTTTTTTTTTTTTTTCAGGAAAAATAAACCCAGCTACATCAGCCTTATTTGAGCCGATTTTCATTTAACAGACGTCATGTTTAACATTGACAATGAGCATCCCTGCCTACCACCTTTACTGCCTGTCTTTTGCTTTGTTTGGCAAAAAAGAGATGGAATCAGGTGGAAACGAAGAGAGGCGGCTTAATAAGGCTTTGTCGCAGCAAAATATGGTAATTTACATATCATATCACATTATTATCATCATACAAAATAACTGCTTCCTTATTTCGCCAAAAGTAAAAGAACTCCAATGTTTATATATCCACCCAGTGTTGTGGTTGTGTTCACAAGAATAGGGGGTTATTCATCACTGTATTCATAACAAAACTTATTTTAAAAAAACAACTAGAGCACGAGAGTAGAAATTAACTAAAACATGATTTTTTTTAGATACTTTGGGAACAGAAACAGCAGAATCAGATCACACTGCATGACAGGACATGACATGTTAACTTTACATCTTCTGTTCGGTTTACTTTGACAACACACCAGCAATCGACTAAAAAGACAACTAAACCTCCTTTGAGGACTTTAAATGTGTCCAGTTCAGTCTTATCCAATCATTTCATGTGATGACATCCCCAAAAAACAGAGTTTCACAGGATAAAATCGGGAGAAGCATCCTCTACTGCTCAGTCTCTTCACCCACCTGTTTCCTGGACGCCCTCTTGCTTTTTCTCTCTGCTTCTTCGGCCTCTTCTTTACTGTCGTCCTGCACTGCTGAGGTGGAGGGTTGATCTCTCTCTGCAGTTAGATCTACCCCGTTTTCCTCCTCTTTGAATTTGCTTTTGAGCGACACAGAGGTAGACTGGTGAGTACTGGACGAGGAGGTAGAGTGGTCCACCTTAAGGACGATGTGCCTCTTCTTGGCTGCGTGTTGCCTGAGCACCGTGCAGAGTTCATTGATGTAAACAAAGGTTTTGGACTGGTTGGCCTGAGCGCGGGTCAAACAGCGTCCCAGGGTGTTCCTGAACTCCACGGAGGACAGGTAGTTGGGGCAGGCCTTGGTGTGCTTCGTTTGGAGGAAGGTCAAGACCTCAGGGCAGTCCTTAGTGAGAGCTGAGCAGTGCTCCACAAACTGGAGGGAAAAACATGGGAAAAAAAGGGGCATGACTCAGTTTGAAGGCTAAAAATCTGAGCAAACTGTCAGATCATTACCAAAGAGAAAAAATCAACGACAAAGAGGGAAAACCTGCTTAAAATCAGACATTTTAAAACAACTGTTATCTAATGAGTTTGGACTGCTTAACAACATCATACCATCCCAAAAAAAGTTCACTCCAATCAAATTTGATTTTTTAAATGTCCTTTTCCAAAAATTATTACCAACTGTATACAAGTTGTCTGTCAATAACTGATATATTATGACAAGCCAAGAGAAGTTGGAAATGATCTGCTTGTATGAAGAATTTTTCAATAAATGAGACAAACTATGACTAATTATTAGATCGAGGAAACGCTCCCAAAAGATGTAAAGAGGACAAATGATTAAGTAAGCCAACACCAGCTTTTCTATTTTGGTCAGAAAACGATCAGCTGAGTAATCATGAAGATAAAAACACAACACAACACAAGAGAAGAAAACTGAGAACTCACCTCAGTGAACAACTTCTGATTCTCTGCCCGCAGGACTGTCACCTCCTTCTTACTGGAGGCAAAAGGTGACTGAGTGATGTGGGTGGACACCGGCTGCTGAATTTTGGTTTGACGCTCCTTGGGAGAGGCGGCGGTGGAGCAAGAAGGCTGGGGGCTGTCCACTCCATCCTCATCATCGAGGACAATGATCTTATCTGCCATCGAGGCCGGAGCCACCGCCATCCAAAATGTGGAGTGGTTTTGCTGCCAGGACACAGACATGGAGAATATGATCAGCAGGATATTCGAACGATACACAAACTTCTACCCCCAAAAGAGCTTACTTCATTAGTTAATCTTACTTTTTAACAGGTTAAAGTTCCCTGTAATCTAAGATAACATGAAATCATAATTGATGATTAACTGTATAAAACGGTCTTATAATCTTACCAAAAGACACAAACCCAGGGAAGAGAGACATCATGTTTAACTCTGGGAGAGGAGGAGAATTCTACCTCTGAACCCTCCTGCCCATCTACCTATCTAATTTTTACAAAAATCCACATAAATACCATGGTGTCGCTACATCGGTAACCATAACTTATTGAGCTTTCAATATAAATGCATGTTTTAAAATCACTATAACTCAAATAATTTTATCATGCCATGAGGGAACAAATGTGGCATATTAAGAGTTCTTTCTCTGTGTTTCTGCTTACAGATCAGGTGTCAGAAAAGGTGAAAGATTGTAAAAAATGTTATAACATTTATGTTTTGATTAAGATGGCATAAATTCTTATTAAGCTCTTGTTCCATTTTAAAACTATTATACTATTTGAAAAGGGTAACAGATTAAGGTTATGTAGCTTTTGGTGATTGTTGTCCACAGTGCTACGTTTCAAGTTCATTTTTGTTATATAATGTAGCTGTTTGTGGAACTCCACATTTTTGGCTTTAAAGGGTTTGAAGCCACATAAACACGTAACTATCAGGTCTATAAACTTCTTAAAAGCTTTTTCAGAATACCAATACCGAAAGAAGTCGTCAGATATAGCTTTTAATTTAAGTTATCCTCCCGCCGACGCTATTATTGAGCTACAAACAAGCCACCAGAGGAATACTTCAGTTTAGAAGTGAAACTGAAGGTCTAGCGTTTAAAATGTGGCAATTTACTATTGAGATCTAAGTAAACTATAGGAAAGACAATATACCAGATATCTAAAGGACTCACCTCTTATTTATGAACTGCTTGACGTGATAACAAAAGAGGAAACGCTCCACAGAACATAGTAAAAGGCTTTTAGTTAGCCGCCATTAGCTTTAGCAGCTACTAAATATGATGACTTTTCCGGATAAAAACAAATGTACACATATGAAGAAGACAGTTTTTTTTACATTACATAAACAAATGTTTACAATTAAAGAAGAAACTATCGGTACGCTTAAAAATCCCTTTTTCCCCCAATCAAACAGGCAATCTGCTCATCAATACAAAGCTCGCAAACTTAGCTATGCTCGAGAGTGGACGCGCTAAACTGTAACCAGCGTCAATGCTTCTGATTGGACGGTTGCTGTGACGCAATGAGTAACACTATCTGCCATTGGACCATTTTACTGACAGATGAGTGGACCAGGTCTTCTTCTTTTTGTTTTTGGTCGGTGGTTGTCCGCTCCTTGTTGGTGTTGTACTGTCACCCCTGAACAGGTCAGGGAACAATGAAAAGAGTCAAATAAACCATTATAATAAAGTATAATGGTGTAACACATCATTTAAATATCACCGTGTGATTTATCAGACTGCTCGGCTAAGGTTTTTTTCTGGCTCAGGGACTTCTATGATGACTAATAGTGTTTATTTGCTTCACAAATTTAAAAGAGCAATGAACTTTGTTTTAAAACAAATCAGCTGAAACGGGAAATGGCAGAAATGCACATACAACTATTCATAGAATTAATTACACAAATCAGAAAGTTTTCTTAAATACAATGAAATCCATTATTAGGGTATACATAGATTTATAATATGTTAAACATATATATTAAATATTGATTATTAAGTTAGAAAATAAATTCAATTACAAGTAATTCATTTAAAAGTTGAAAAGTCATTTAAAAAACAGCAACTGGTTTTGTGGGTTAAACCATAAAGCAGCTCATGAGAGGCAGGTAAAAGTATTAAAGAGGCAATTGTTTAATAATAAACCTTTATTTAAATTCAGGGTTCAGCAGAAAAATGAGCTCTTCTCATATCATGTCTTTCACATTTATTTAATTGAATTATTTTGTTGGAGCCATTCTTATACATTTAACTTAAGATATTTAAAAAATCACACTCATTAAACTCTTTTTATTTACAGAAACAGGATTTAGGTTGTCAGTCTGGGCAGCAGTATAATCTAAAAGTTAGGATCTCTTTTATTACACACACAGATTCATCAGAGTCATGAAATGATGAAAAGCATTATATGATAATTTGTTTTGTTTTTGTTTTTACACATTTATCCAGTATAAAGGTCACAATAACCATTTTAACCATCCTAGTTTCTTGAACCTTTCCTGTTTACACAAAGGGAGCTAATGTCCAAAAAACAGCTCCCTTTAAAAACACACATTTACAAAAGCTAAATGCAGACATGTCTGTCAGAAATACAAAAACAGTGAAAAGACCGAAAGTTTAGCAACTCCACAAATGCATAAAAGAGAAAAAAAATATCCAGTATGACTGTTTTTACATCAAACACTTGCACTAACTCGCAGACCAGACAAGCTGTAAAGAAAATAATCATCAGCAGAACATCTGGAGACCTCATCCATTATCAAAGTCTTCAGCAGTTTCATGACAAACTTCAGGTGACTTCATTCATCTTTATTTCTCCTTCTGTGAAGGAAAGCATGATAAAGTTACTAGAGAACACCCCTCAAACAATTACAATGTATAGAAAAAATGATCAAAATGTCATTTCTTTCATTTAAATACTCAGAAAAGCACCATTACCTTTTCTTGATTTTCAGCAGTATTTGAGCCTAGATTCAGAAACAAAGATGGAAAAACTTCAATGTCAAATCCAGCTGCTAATTTTCGCTGTTTGTTTTCTATCTTCTCACACAAAATGAAAGACAAATCCTGGTACAAATGCAAGGTACCTGAGCTTGTAAATGTCCATGAGATGAATTTGATGAAGCCGTAGAGCACTAGGGCCACACCGACCATCGCCATCGAGTCCTCGATGGACGGACCACTGAACCCTGAAAACAGCAAAAAACCCTCAAATCTTAATTTTCTTTGATATCACACACATAATTGTCTTCATTTGAATTAAAACAATGTATTCTACAATCAGACATCTGGTGAGGGGAATATGAGCTTTATGTTTACACTAAATAACCAGAAGCATCCACATCCAGGACTGATATCATCCATCAGTCTTTCAGGACCGCTTCCACTAAAAGCTGCTGAATTTGTTTAAATATTCTTTAAAAATGTGTAATCTATGTGTAAAACAAACACTGAAGCCTTCTTCCAGGTGGCAGTAAGTTATGTATTCCTGCATGAGTATATTTAAAGTTTAAAGAACTGATTTTCCACACAAACTGGGAGAAGTGAAGCTTTCCACATGTTACCGATGACGTTGAGGGTGGCGCTGGCTCGGCGTGTTCCTCCAGGATGAACAGCCACGCAGACCACCTCCCCCCCCGTGCCCAGGTCCAGTTTGGATGTGTCGAGCTGCAGTCGGGTGCTCTGGGTGAAGGTGCCGTCCCAGGCCTGCCGGTGGCCCGACACGCTGCCTGTTCCCAGGGGCCTGGACTTCCCATCCGAACCTTTAAACTCCCAGCTCAGCTCCAGAGGGAGGGGGGAGAAGCCAGACGCCTCACACTGGACGCTCAAAGTCTGACCGGTCACAGTGAGGGGCAGAGGGGAGGGGTGGATGGAGAGGGACGGAGGTTCTGGTCGACAGAAAAACAGAGGAAAAAAATGAGTTTATTGCTTGTTTACGAACAAAAAAGTTCATTTCCAGAGCGTAGAGCCATGAGGAACGCCTCGAAACGACCATCACACTGCTCACCGACAATCTCCAGCTCCATCACCACCTGAGCCAGCAGGTAGGGCAGGTACACGGTGCAGATGTACATCCCCGAGTGGCGCACTTTGGCCTCTTGCAGGGTCAGGGAGGCGTTTCCCCTCTGGTGCAAAGCCTCAAAGTCCATGGTGGCGCCCTCCTCCAGCGTGTCAGCCAAACGGTCCGAGGTGCCGTCGTAGGCCAGCACAAGCCGCCCGTCACCTCTGAACTGGTAGCGCCACTCCACAGCGAAACCCGAGGAGGAAAGAGGCGAGGAGGGGTCGGCCCGGAAGCCGCAGTCCAGCGTGACGGGTTCCCCGAGTCTGGCCTGAGCAGACATGGTTCTGCTGCTCACGCTCAGGACCACTGAGGAGAAAGACCACCAGAACAACTCAGACACAAACCTTCTTTCAACGTTTAAAGAGGGAGCTCTGAAATGCGCCGCACCGTCGTGCTCTTTGGAGCCCGTGGGGGCTCGCGAGATGGTGGAGACGCCCAGGCGCTGGTTGAGGCCGTGGAAGGAGGCAGAGAACCACTCGGCTTCAAGGTAAATGGGGCTGAGGGCGGACTCTGTGAGGGAGGCCACCCATTTGAGGCTGGAGGGCTGTGGCACGAAGGGGTTTACTTCACACTGGGGCTTCTCGACGGAGCCTCTGGGGGGGTTGAAAGCCGGTTGGCACAGAGTGGCAGCCGGGTCTGAGACAGAGAGGGAGGGTTATCATATGATGATCCTACAAGCCGATGTTAAAGTTTTGTGATATTAAAGTAAGGAAAACTACCAAATATTCCACATCTGAGAAGAACAAAAGTTTGTGAACCTGTGTTTTTTTCCCCTTCGGTTTACTAAAGATCACCTCGATAAGTAAAAGATAAAATGTTTTTGTGGACAGAGGATGTTTTAAAGAATTAAGCATTCTAATTCAAGAACCTGAAACAGGTGGTGGTAGTTTCATAATTTGGGCCATTTTTCATTCATCCAGGACAGGATGCTTCCTCATCTTATTCTGGGTTAATTATTGAAATAGCATTTAATCCACTTTTAGGTAATGCTTAAGCAGAAATGCTGACCACTAAACATCTCTAGTTCTCAAAAAGCTCCACTGTTAATATGAAATAATCAGATTTCCTTTATTCCTGTTGAAGAAATTAACTTTAAACTAAATTATAAACACTTGGTTATTTTTTTACTTTAAAATTTAATCCATGTTAAAAGGATTACGTTTAATCTCTACCCATCTATTTTATGTAGTTTGATCAAATCTTTTTAATGCTGACAGACTCGTGCTGAACTCACCTGTGAAGGTGTAAACTCTCTCTGGGTTGATGTCTGCCGGAGCCCGCCGGGACTCTGCGCTCTGGCTTTGTGTGTCCTTCCTGATGTGAATCAGGGTTTTCTCCTGCGTTGTTGCCCCGGCTAAACCTCCACCCCGACCCGCCTTCTCCTGCACGAACCAGCACTCCATCACTGGACAGCTGCTGCTGCAGGCTGCAGCCAAGAAATTATACAAAAGTCCAATTACTTCACTTTATAAGCATATAATATTCTACATTTTCCAAAGAGTTTTAATAAATGTATGGATTTTATACGAACCTACATGGTTTTACTACCGTCTAACCAGATAAACCTTAAAGCCGCCTTTCCACTAAAGATTATTCAAATATCCTGATGACTGAGTTTCCCTTTGGAAATTGGCTACTTTTTCCTTCATTTTCATTTCAGTTCTTGTGGCCAAACAAATGTTAATACACCCTGTCACAAAGACAAAAATGCCACAGATAAGACAGATGTGACAGAGAGAAAACAGGATTTTTACAGGCAGCAATAAGCTGATTTCCAATTAGCTGTTAGCTGAAAAGCTGACATTTTTCAGCATGGTGTGCAGTGTGTCCTTCAAACATTTACGGAAACAAAGGATGTGTCACAGTAGTTGTAAAATATCACATTTATAAAGCATATCATGCCACCTTGGACCCTAAAACTAACTCATGACCCTTTGAGTTTTAGACTGGCCAAATTGAATTCATCATTATTTAATAGAATATAGGGCCTGTTTTGTTTTGTTTTTTCTTTACTCTATCTGCTTTTACGTCATCATTTATCACTCTCGGTGTTTTCAGCATTTTTATGAGTAGATCTGAGGTAAGTAAACTGTGTAAGACTAAATTATGTCTGGAATATAATGTTTTTGTGTTTTTACAGTACAGCCCAAACTCCATTTAAAAAGTGAATAATTTTACACATATCCTCAAAGATGCAAACACAATTACGGTCAACATGATTGGATACGATTTTTTAGCGAATTATGTGACCTTCTGCTGCATTCGGCGCACAAAACGGAACAACTACGCCTTTTAATTACTTAAATTAGCAGTTGTGTCATACTTTAACCCACCGGTGCTGCACGGGCGCATTTGAAAGCAAAGTTAGCTCACCTAACGTGACATATTGCGCATTACAGGACAGTTCTGACACTTATTTCGTCAGGAAAATAGAAATATGCTTTTAAGTTACATGCATATGCCTGTTTTGTGTGCATTTGGTCAGGAAAACAACCCTTATGTTAGCGCGTTTCGCTTACCGTGGACGAGGCAGGTAACAGCAACCAGGGACAGTTTATAAATGGTAGAAAAGTTCGTCATCGTTGTAAATGTTCCCTCTGGCTTTCTGGTCTCCTCTGTACAGTGAAGGACTGCACTTAGAGGGACGAAGGATACTGTGAAGCTGGTTGGTTTTCCCCTTCAGACCAGACTACAGTGTTACTTTCACTTTCGCTGATGAAACGAGCTAGCTGGGAAAAATGTCAACTTTCCGTAATGATAAAAAAGAACAACTAATTGTTACGCTGGAATGAAAATAAAATCATATACGATACATGTAATGATCAAAATAATAAAAAAGGAAGTCTTAAATTAAACCCGAGAGCATATTTCTGCCCTTATTTGATCAGTACATTATAATTTCCCCCAAATAACCACAAGATGGCGCCAGCGGCTAAACAAGTCCTCAATCGAGACGTGTTCCCTTCTTATACACGTCTCCTTTCTATCCTTCCTAAGCCCATTTTTTTTTTCTTTCTGATAAAATGTCATCAGACGCATTATTCTCATTAACAATTGTGGTCAAAGTGTATGAAGGACTGTTTCATGTTAACCTAATACATTACGTCCAGAAAATAAAGAGGTGACTCAGTGTCCCTTAGAATGGTGTATTCTATTCCTGATACCTTACAGTGTAAGGTATCAGGAATAGAATTCAGCCCGCGAGAACAGGGTGACATGAGGACATGGGAAGTAGAAACTGTTAACATTTGGCCTAAAATTGTAACAAAATATATCGAAAAGTTCACTAATTTTAGCGTAAAGGTATGTGGAAATTGTTTTTTTTAAACCTGTTTGTATAACATACTGCGTATACTCTATGAGTAAATAAGATGGTTATAATGCTACAGATCCTCTCTGTGTTCGTGTGTCATGGAAAAAATGTGGTAGAACCGGCAGCACAGCAGGATTCGGATCAGAAAACACACACAAAACCAGTGTCTGCGAGGTTGGTTTGAAAAATAAGGAAATAATAACGTCAGATGTGGGTGTAACAAAAGCAAAACCTAATGGACTCGTCACGTGATTTCACAGAACTGAGCTCTGAGATATTTGCTGTTCTGGCCGGAGGTGGCGCTCAAGACTTTTAGAGGACACAAAGGTATTAATCAACATGTCTGGGTTTGTTCACCGAGCAGTGAGACATTTCAATTAAGCTTAGTTAGTTACTATTAGAGCAAAATTACTCGTTACTAATGTTCAGTCCAAATAAATAAAAGCAAAGAGTATTTACAATATCTTGGAGAATATTGAGGTGGCCCGTTGTTGCATGATGGGTACAGATTTAAACGCCATCCACTCGTGCTTACCTGTTAACCGGTGACACATGAATTGTTTGATCTCTGATTGGTAGAAAATCCTTCGGCGATCACTCATGAGATAAAATGTGCGTTCTTGTTTAAAGTTAATCATTGTATTCTGTATTATATTTTGACTCTTGTTTTTAACTTTCTGGATTTAGATATAAGCTTTCCATCTGCAGGACGGAGCTCATTTTCCTGCTTTTCTGGGAATTTACTGGGTGACAGACGGCGAGTTTACCACTTGTTCTTCACGCGAAGAGACGGCTAAACTTGTATTTATTCCTAGAAATGTAAGCTTGGTTTACCAATTTCCGATAGAAAAGGACGTTTAGTAAGTTTTAATATTACGTCCAGAGTAAACTTGATAAAGTTTGAAAAGCAAAACATGCAAAAAAGCAAACTTAACACACAACAGAGGAAAATATGACGATATAGCCTACAAAGACATTGATGCGTTAAGTAGAAAAATGCAGAGACATAGGGTGAAGTAAATTTTATCTTGTCCAAATCACGGAAATATATTGAACACTTTGATTCTAATGTGTTAGATAAAAACAGCCAAAACTTCTCCCTTCAGTGTTTTCATTGTGCGCGTTTAAAAGGGGAATTACGGGTTTTCTGTTCATCTTCATATTTTCCCTTTTTTCGCAGCTTCCTTCTCAGCTGCTATTTGACAGGAGTCAGGGGACAACCTGGACAGGTTGTCACTGGGTCACAGAAGAAAATAAACAAACATCCACTCACAGTTACATATTATTGGCATGCTTACATTATTAATCATCATTAGCTAACCTTCGCAAATATTCTTCATAAATATATGTAATAGAAATGAAATGTTGAAACACATACATGGTTATTTAATGTGTTTGTTACTGTTTCATTTTTTCCTGTTTAATATTTTTTCCATTTCTTTGATTTACAAAAACATCTATATATGATTTTTTTTAGTTGATATTAAGATCTGTCCTGTAGAATAAATGTGATATCTGAATGGAAATAAAACAAGAACCTCATTTTATATTTAGAAAAATAACCAATGAGTTAATCTTATTAGTGATTAGGCACATCTAAAGTTACCGAATAATAGAAATTAAGCTTATTCAATGCTAATTCTAAAAAATAATGTCATTTGCTCGATCAGAAGGAACTTTGATGATGATTGTAACTCCAGAGAGCAATAAGACTGACCTGTGGTTTAAAAACTTCTTATTGTAAGCATTTAAGTGTTAAACTGGTAATAAAATATTGGCCTATGAAATATCATCAGGTATTCTTTTTTCCAATATACAAGAGGAGCATATTAGAGGGACAAAGAGACTGGAGAAATCTGTTCCCCTGTATCTTCGATAATGGACAGTCTCTATTTGATGATACAATTTTACATATATTTCATTAGAAAGTGTTTTTTTGTTTTTTTTACCAGCGTTACTAAGGGTAACACAACATGAGAAAGTGTGGCTGGAATAATCTGTTATGCATGTGTCTTGAATATAGAGTAACCACTCGCCTCATATTTTGGGTAATTTTTTTCACTCCTTATATACAATCACATTGTGAATTTGAAGGGATTTGCTCTTTCCTTTCCAAGTTGCCTGGGGGAGCAGATTATTTCACCCAAAAATTTTGACTTTGAAATACTGTTTCTCTGGGTAGCTTTGATAGAACAAATGAGGGGAAATAGCTGTGCATGACGAATTGAGGCAATTACATTACATCAGTTATACACCTGCTAAAACAGATGATTTTTTTTTTAAAGAAAAGCACATTAAATGACACTGGTGATTAAAGTTATCAGATACATTTGATTTATCTAAAATGTGTTTACATAAGAAACGTGCTATACAACAATAACAAGAAAAATGTGGATCTTTTCCTGAGGCGTTGATTTTCGCAGCCTTTTACGTGTAATAAAACAATGAATAAACAAATTGAAGACAGGAAGAGAATATAACAAGAATATGGTTGTTTCGGTACAAAAGAAAACACAAATGTGTCAAAAAAACAATTCAAAAGGGCTTTTAGTTGGAATAAAAGCTTCAGGACTACAATAACCCTGGCACAACTTATTATGTGTCATTTTATGAACAAACTGAGCAGAGACAATGGCAGAGTTTTCAGAACTGGCGTAAGGTTTGCACTGCAGTAAGGTTTGCAACATTTTCACAGATTTGCGCTTCCCGTGTCAATAACTCAAATAAAAAATCCCCCAAAATATGAAAAAGTATTTATTGATATGATAACAGTTGTAGTATCACCGGGAGGTTGAATGATGTGCACAGTGATTTTGTTAAGGAAACAATATATCAGAGTTTAGTTATTGATTATCTTTTGTGGTATCTCTTTTTTTAAATTTGTTGATGGTCCCTGGGCCCTCGTCTCACCGCCGGGTGTCCATAGCGATCAATTTTGTCGAAGCAGCGCAGAGGAAGGCTTATTTCGATACAAGTGAGGTTGTAGCTCGTTGTGTGCGTTACTACGGCTGTAAAGAGGCATCGGTTGTGTTTTAAAAATGTCCCGATTACGAGTTATTGACAGGGGAAGCGCGAATCTGTGAATATGCTGCCAACTTTACTGCAGTTTTTCAGTCGGCCTGCTTTCCGGAAATAAAAACCTTATCGGTTGTAGTCGTTAGCCTGAGATGGAAACTTAAACGGCCGTCTCGATCAAAGTCTTAGATTTTAACCACAATTATGTTATGTCCATAAAATATTGTGGAGCTAAATGAAACCGTACATGTTTCTGCTGCTTTTGGGAATACACAAAGTCGTCACAGGTAAGTTTTTCTTTTTTGTTTGGTTCATGTTTGGTCTTGTCTCATTCTTGTTTTGCGTGCTGCGCGCATAAACTACAAATTACGGTACGATCTGACTTTGTCCCTAATCGGCAGCTGTACATGTGGTCCCCTTGTCTCACTTATCTATAGAACACTGATGTGAATAATGGAAACATTAAACAAATACTACTCATCAAAATGGATCTAACCACAGACCGAATAACTGAAAAACATTTCAATGTATGATTTGTGTTTTATTATAAAGAAATGATCATTTAAAACACCATGTCAGTTGTTTTTAATAGCTTGTCATATTCTTTCTGATAACCTCTGTCCCTGATGTCTGTCTTACAGTGTATCACTCTCTGAAGTATTTCTACACGGCGTCTTCAGGAGTCTCACATTTTCCAGAGTTTGTAGCTGTTGTGCTGGTTGATGATATAGAAATTCTTCGCTATGACAGCAAGATAACAAAAGCCACCCCTAAACAGGACTGGGTGATTAGAGTTGAACAAGATCACCCGCTTTTCCTCCAGAATAGCACTGAGAGCTTCAGAGTGGCTGAAGAAGTCTACAAAAAGAACATTGATATAGCAAAGCAGCGCTTCAACAAAACTGAAGGTCTGTCAACGTTTTAGTCCATCCCAAAGATTGGGCTGTGTTCTGGTGCTTTGAATCCTTTCCTTTTTCAGAACCTCATTTTCTTAAAGAAAATCTATGCACAAATGATTGAGGCGTATAACTGTCTCCTTTCCTAGATGCCAAAAAATCACGTTGAGTTGGCATAAGAAACACAGTGTGTAGAAGCTGTTGGGTTACACTGAGCATGAATTGTGTTTTAGCTCCATTTCCGCTTATTATTTTTTTGGGCAATCTTTGGATTTACACAAATCTACTCCACAGAGATGGACTATATTAGTCAGTTTTGTTTTTACAAACAATAAAGTCTGTGTAGCCTCAGATCGAATATAATGAATAATGACTAACGTTTAAAAGCTGACAGAGATTTAAACAAGCTGAGGATTCAAGAGGCTCAGCGTTTCCAAAACTCAAATTGTTCCATGACGCCCAAAAGTAAATTGAGGAAATTCATTTTCGGAAAAAAACAACCTAAATGAATAAAAAGAAATGGTTGTGAACTGTGAATATTGTCTGATAAACGTAGTGCTAAAAAAAAGGGTCCTGGTCTAATGGTCCAGTCTGGCTCCTCCCTGCTGTCTGTGTTCCCCTTTAGGTACTCACATTTTGCAAATGATGACCGGCTGTGAATGGGATGAATCAGATGGGATCACATATGGCAACTTACAGTTTGGGTATGATGGAGAGGACTTCATAGCGTTTGACCTGAGAACAGAGAGGTGGATCACTTCCAGACCACAGGCCCACTCGACCCGGGCAAAATGGGACCGGGACCAAGAGGACCGAGCATACAGGAAGAAGTATCTGACCCAGACCTGCGTTGAGTGGCTGAGGACGTATTTGATGTATGGGAAGAGCGTGCTGATGAGAACAGGTACAGGCACTTTATGGACTCTAAGCTGAAATGATTATATATTAGTTTACATTTTTGTCGGAGCTGAATTGATGAAAGAATTCCAGTTTTTTGCAGTAAAGCAGAAAAGTTGACAATTTTCTCAAAAATCTGCTCCGTAAAGCTCAAACCAGAATTAGTAATAGACAGATGGTGTTTGAGCCCTTCGCACACAGCTTTCACCTTTTAAAATGTGTGTAAAATGGTAACTGGCAGCATTTAAAAAAAAAATCTACCTGTTTCACATTTTTTTGATGCAAACCAAAAAGTAGTTTTACCTCAGTGGAAAAGCTCAGCACTGGGCTGATAGCCGCTAAATTCTTCCCTTTTGAATTCACTGTGAAATCATCATTTTCGGGTGTATCTCAGAGTTTCAGGGGTTGGTATTTCTGATGTAATGTGTTTAATTTAGTGAAAGAAACATATCAGATTACAAAGAAACATAAGGTTTGTAAAAGCCTTTAAAGACTTTTGTTGTAGGGCAGAATTTTGTTTCTGTATAGTACTTTAAAACAGATCAGTCCAGCTTTTAAAATGATTTCAACAGGTTGAACGTGAACATTTTCCTGTTCGTAAAATTGTCTACAGCCAAATGTCATGTTGGTGTATCAGAACTCTAGATGTACTTTAATGTCTTGCACAGTGTAAAATACCTGCCTATCAAGCAGCCATGGCAGAGTTCACTGTTTAAACAGCAGAAAAAAGCCCAGATAGGGTCTGACAGAGCTGGTGACGTGTGAAAATACAGAAAGCCCAACAGCTGTTTTCCAGAAAGCCTGCGACTATCCACTAGTGTTTCAAGAAACTGAATAATGAAATAAAGAAAATATATGGTTTGCTTTTATTGTAAATAAGGGATG